TTAGACACTCGAGGGGTAGTAACAGTCAGTCTAGGGACTCAGGTGAAGCATTGTTTATGAGGGGTAGGTCTAAGAGTAGATCTAGAAACCATAAAAAGGGCAACAACGATAAGAACAAAAACAATGACCAGGGTAAGGAGAGAGGTAAGTCTAGGAAGAGAGTGTGCTATAATTGCGGTAATTCTGGCCACTTTATTAAGGATTGTCCTAGCCCCAAGAAGTTTGAACATGCTAATGTGGTAGATGATAATAACTTGCATGAGGAAGTTTTTATAATTTGTGATTCTGCCAATTTTGTGTTGAGTAGCATGACTGGAAATGAGTGGTTGATTGACTCTGGTTCTACTTATCATATGACACCTTTTAGATCCTTGTTTTCTTCTTATGATTCTTGCAATGATGGTTTTGTGTCTCTTGCTGATAATAAGAAATGCAAAATTCATGGGGTGGGTGATGTATGCTTGAAGTTTGATAATGGGATTGTGTTTACTATGAAAAATGTGTGACATGTTCCTGATTTGCGTCATAACTTGTTTTCTGTCGCTGCTTTTGAGGGTAGTGGGCTTGAGGGTAAATGGGGAAATGGGTGCATGAAAGTTTTGAAAAATTCCCTTGTTTTGTTTAAGGCAAAAAGGGTGAATAACTTGTATGTGTGTTGTGCTCAGCCTTTCTGTGATTCTGCTCATGTTGTTAGTTCTGATAAAACTGCTTTGTGGCATAATTGATTAGGACACATGAGTAACAAGGGTTTGGAGATTTTGAATAAATCTGGTTGAGCACCGCCCTTCAAATGTATTAGGAGTTTGATACAATTATATTTTAAGACATTACTAAAGAAAATATTTTATGTAATGAAAGTGAGGATCATCCATTTTTGAAAGAAGTATACCATGAAATTTATCTCTCAAACCACTTTTTCGTATACATGTATTATACAAAAAAAAAAATCACCAAACCTATTATTATACGGGGTTCGGTGGGGCTTACTTAGCATAAGCTAATTTTTGTTATTTGTTTCTTTGGGTTAGGATCACATACAAAGTATGCTTCCGGTACAAAATGAAAATACATCTCATCCGTCCAAAATTATATAATCAAGGGGCAAGATTTGTTTGGGCTATTAAAGTCAGCCGTCAGTGTGTTTAATAGGGAGTTTTCCCAACTTACATTAAATGCACCGATTTTTTTTCCATCTTAGGATCAAATCCATTGTAATCTCATTTAAATGGAGGGCTAGGATTAATTTGCACTTTGTAAATTAAGATGAGTTTGTATACGATCCTCAATCTGTTTCTTTTGTTTTCTTATGTTACAGATGATGTGGTTTATGAAGAATGATGCATTGAGAGCGCTCCTAGACGACTTTTAGAGTAGTCTCATTTAGAATAAACTTTGTTAGACTTCAAATGTTGAAATTAATATTTATTTTAGATACATTTATGGTGGATAGCCTTAGCATCCAGTCAGTTAGTGCTGGGTGTGGCGGTAACACGCCCCTTTTCCTTGTTATTGTTTAATTCCGCTGCAAACAATTGAAAGTTTTGAATAATTAATAAAAGTTTATTATTTCTTCAAGAATTATTTTGGGAGGGAAATTTGGGGGGTGTTACACCTCCATCCCTTTCTGTGAATCTTATGTGTTAGGCAAGCAGCATAAGGTTAAATTCCCCTCCTCGGTTTATCCTAATCTCACTAAGTGTACATCTGTGTTAGAGTATGTTCATGCCGATGTGTGGGGTTCCGCTAGTGTGTCTACCCACGGGGGTAAGAGATACTTTCTGTCCATTATCGATGATTTTTCTAGGAAGGTGTGGGTCTGTCTCCTTGAGCATAAGTCTGATGTCTTTGTGAAGTTTAGGGAGTGGAAAAAAACTTGTAGAAAATGAAACATGTAAGAAGGTAAAACCCTTAGGACAGATAATGGTCTAGAGTTTTGCAATAAGGATATGGACCAACTCTGTGTGGATTGTAGGATTAGAAGGCACAAAAATGTGCCCTATACTCCCCAACAAAATGGGATAGCTGAGAGAATAAATAGGACTATTCTAGATAAGGTTAGGAGTATGCTTACTACCTCCAGTTTGTCTAAAAAGTTTTGGGGTGAAGCAGTTAATACTGCTGTCTACTTGATTAACCGGTCTCCCTATGTTCCCTTGGGTGGGAAGTTCCCTGAATCTGTTTTTTCAAACAAACCCCTTGATTTGTCTAATCTTAGTGTTTGGGTGTGCCGCGTACGTGCACCAACAAGGTGACAAATTGGATCATAGGTCTAAGAAAGTAGTCTTCTTAGGTTATCCTGAGGGTGTGAAGGGGTACAGGGTTTGGGATAGAAATCGGGTAGGTTTCAAAGTTGTGGTAAGTAGAAACGTTATTTTTAATGAATTCGAGTTTCCTTATCTAGCTAAGTCAGTTCCTGATTCTGAGTCTAGTCCTAGTAGTAGACCCATTGAGGTGGAGTCCATACCGCATACTGCTAGTCATTTGTTTGTTAATCATGATAATGTTGTCTTGCATGATTCTAATTCTTCTGAATTGCATGATTCAAATTCTTTTGAATTGCATGATTCTGATTCTTTTGAATTGCATGATTCTGATTCTTTTGAGCATGATACTACCACCAATTCGAGTGCGGTGGAGAATTCTCATGTGCATTCAAATGACAATGAATCGCATGATGAGAGTGCTGGTTCTAGTGAAAATGATTTGCATGATTATCAACTTGCTAGAGATAGAAGTAGGAGAGTAATTAGGAGAACTGCGGATAGTAGGCCTGATTATGCTTTCCATATGTGCGATACTTCTATGTTTGCTTTCTCTGTGTTTGAGACCCTTGAGCTTAACGAACCTAGAACCTATAGAGAGGCCTTTAAGTCTAATGAGTCCGCTAAATGGCTTTGCGCCATGGAAAGTGAGATGGAGTCACTGAGAGTGAATAAGATTTGGATGTTAGCTCCTAGACCGTCCAATAGTTCCGTTGTTGCATGTAAGTGGCTATTTAAGGTTAAGGAAGAGCATAACGACATTAGATAAGGCTAGGTTAATAGTTAAGGGATTTACTCAAAAGGAATGAGGTCTTGTTGATTATGCTGAAATCTTGGCTCTTGTTGTTAAATTTACTACGATTAGAATGATGATTGCTCTTGTTGCTAATAATGATTGGGAAATGAAGCAAATGGACGTCACCACTGCTTTCTTGCATGGTGATTTAGATAAGAAAATCTATATGTCGCAGCTTGAGGGCTTTGTGGATCCCATGAAGAGTGATCATGTGTGTTTTCTTAGGAAGGTCTTGTACGGCCTGAAGCAGTCCCTAGGCAGTGGAATATCAAATTTGACCAGTGCATGTCATCTTTGAAATTTCACAAGTCCGAATGCGACCAATGCATATACTTTAAAATTAAAATACTTCTTCTGTGCCTGTATTTTTATTGTTATATGTGGATGATATGTTGATTGTTAGTGCAGGTTATATCAAGTTGATTAAAATTTCATCTAAATTTAATCTTGTTGACATGGGGACTAAATTTCTCTCTGTCGAAAAACTGTTGTCGTGCAAATGCACGTTAAACATTGATTGCGGATAAATTGCCTAGTGATCTTACCCCTTTTGCCTGAATGTGTCTCTGTGATCATTCGAGCAATCCAGCGATGATGAGTATCATGTATGTTTTAGAGTTTTGATTCTACGCCGCTTGGGTCCAATAAGTTGGAGAATGTGTTGGTATTGGCTCACTTGATCCCATAAGCCCGTTTACTTCTTCAATGCCCCGGCCCGTTGGTTGAGTATCTTCTCGATCGGCTTTCTCCCCTGAACGATCGATACTTTCCTTTCCCATTACCTGCGCGATTCAAACCTTCATCTACCAAAGGTTAGTTACCATCTTTATTCCTTTGTTGCGCCTATTTAATCCTATTCTCTCTGCCGATGAAGAGGCTGGTCGAAACCCTTCCCTTAAAATCGCACCTCTGCTCCTCGGTGGAGCCAGAACCATTTTGGCCAGAAATCAAGGTTGTTGGCTGACGCCCCTTCTCCCCTAGTTGACCTTGGCGGTGCAGTTCATCCTTTGTGGATGAACTCGGAGACCTGAGCTGGAAGAATCGTTGACTAACATGGCTTTCAGGTCGAACTTTTTGATAATATTTTTGATGAAAAAGATGATTGATAAGGCTGATTACCGAAAAAACGAAGTTGTCAAACATACTCTACAAAGTAGATATGAGTAATAAACTATATATATATATATATACACACACACACACACACACAAGAATGTTCAGGTCCGAACGTTCGGACGGGAGCCTCCGTCCGAACATCCCTGTTTGGGGCCCTTCCCGGTGAAATTTTTTGATGAAATTTTTTGAGCATGTTCCTCATCAAGTCTAGTTTGTCCATACCAAATTTCAGCTCAAAATTCGATCGGGAAGGCATTCAAATCATTTTTTGAAGTTGACTGCGTTTTTATATGTATATTTTGACGCAGTTAACTTCAAAAAATCATTTGAATGCCTTCCCGATCGAATTTTGAGCTGAAATTTGGTATGGACAAACTAGACTTGATGAGGAACATGCTCAAAAAATTTCATCAAAAAATTCCAACGGGAAGGGCCCCAAATGGGGATGTTCGGACGGTGTTCGGACCAGGAATGTTCGGACCTGAACATTCCTCATATTATATATATATATAATTCATTTTTATTTATGTGTCACAATTCATTTTATAATTAATTAATTACCATAATAATAATATATTTATTGTTGTAGCTACGTATTTGGAATAACACAGTGCGTGTCGGGGTCTCAGGGGATAAACTTATTCAAAGTATTGAAAATTTGGATGATATGTCTAATTTTGACCATTTGTGAGTGCATCACATCATATCTACCTGGGATGTACGCTAGCTATAAGCCTATAACCCAAACCATGATCCATACCTATCCATATGTGGGCCCAAATCAAAGATATCCGAATAAATTCCTTTTAACTTTTCATTTATATATACTCCCAAACTTTATAATTTGTCTCTCGCTCCCAAGCTAATTTAATAAGCTAAGCTAGTTTGAACTAACAGTACTATATTTATTTTCATTTTTCCTTCTATATATGATTTGGCTCGATCTTTCATTAATATAGAATTCGTACGTATAGCCCCTACAAGGCAAGACAGCCTTATATATATATATAATAGCATTTCAGGCAATAAAAACATCTATCTATCTCAGCAACTGATTTGGTCTTAGGTTGACTAGCAATTAAGCTGCAATTAATAATAGAATAGAATTGGAAGTGATGATGATGATGAAGGAAAGTGGGAGAAAAGGGCATGGTGGAGCTTCCCCATGTGCAGCATGTAAGTTGCTTAGGAGGAGATGTACTCAAGATTGTGTTTTTGCTCCTCACTTTCCAGCTGATGAGCCCCACAAGTTTGCTAGTGTGCATAAGGTTTTTGGTGCTAGCAATGTCAACAAAATCCTACAGGTAATTGTTTATTTAAGCTCTTAGCTTCTTTTCTTTCTAAGTTATATCTCTCTCATGCTATCCTCCATTTTTCTTATTAGTTGCAACACTGATAATTTTATACAATTCACATATTCTACTTAAACTACATTTTATTTATTAGTATATGAGAATTGTTAGTTTTTTGAATTCATCTCATTACAAATTTTCATAATCTGCTTTTTTAATTTTTTTAATAATAGAAAATTAAATATAGTGACAGTCAAAGTTGCACGTTAGCAAACATGAAAATGAGGATGTTGCAACTAAAACTGAACGGAAGAAGTATACATTAGTAGAAAATACCGGCAATGATTAAGGATGTTTTCACTTAATTAATTTGATAAAGGTCTCTTATATGTTTGAGATTTCATCCTAAAATGGTGGCTTTTATGTTAGACTCGACTCTAAAAAAGCAACCTTCCTGAAAGAGTAGCTTAGAGCATTATTTGTTAGTTTGTAGTTTTGTATGCAGTGAGTTGGATGATTTAATAATGGGAAAGTTCCCGAAATAGGACTAAAACAGTTTGATAATTCCAAAATAGGACTGACATGTTTTTTATTCCCAAAATAGGAGTAATTACTGTCAAGTTTGGAAAATATTGTTATGTTTGAAGTCTGGTACTGCCAAAACATGATAGTAATTTGTCATATTTTGGGAATAAAAACATGACAGTCCTATTTTGGAATTTTCAAATCTTTTTAGTCCTATTTCGGGTAATATCTTTTTAATAAGTCTATTCTATTCTGAAAGTGTAACAAACCTAAACGAAAAATGTATTTAGGCGTAAGTCAGATAGATGGTATATATATTAGGGGTGATGTTGACCCTTTTAAAGTGTCATTGTATATGCAGATATTTTCACTAGTCATTTAATTTCCTTAGAATAGATTGAAGAAAGTAGTACTGTAGTAGCATATCACGAGCCCGTTTGGTGACCCTGTTTTTCGATTTATTCGGCTTATCAGTCAAAATTTTCGCCAAACACGTAACTTTTGATTTCGCGCGCTGAATTGTTTAATAATAAGAAAAAGTAAGGTTGGAATTATTTTTCTGGATGTATTGGCTGAATTTACTGTAGATGATCATTTTAGCTGTTTTTCATACAACATTTTCTTTATTTTATTAATAAATATATTTTAAATATAATTTTTTCATAAATCAGCCAATCCAGCCGTTTCAACCAGAACTTCATAAATTGAAGCAAAATCAACCAATACAACTAATTTGGATATTAAGGAAATAACAAAAATTTCAGTTTTTATTATAAATATTACATGATGAAGGAGTAAAAGGTAATCAATATATTTACTTATATTTACGTGTTCATGTGTGATATGTTGTGAAGACAATTTTGAGGGTGGGGGGGGCTTTAAAGACATACACAATGCAACTTTAATGGTGTTAGATTCATTATCAATGCCCTACTTTTACTTACCGATCGAATATGTCTTGTAAGTTGTAACTAATCAATTTGTTTGCATCAAGGACTCAAGGAGTTTTCCGTCAGAACATATATACCAAGTTTGGTGTATTATTTTGGCATAAATTATACTACGTAGTTAGATGTAGGACAAATAAAAGTTAGATATCTAAACGTCTTAGTAAAAAAAATGTATTAGTTGCCGATATGATATGCATCTAACTATATCAGATCAGTAGTACATTATTATATCATGAAAGTCCTTGATGTGGGACAAATAAAAGTATTAATTGCCGATATGATATGCATGTAGTGATGTAGGCAGGGGCGGAGCCAGTCATGGACCCGGGTCGGGCCGGGCCCAACCGGGCTTTTTTTTGGAGAAGGAAGGCCTGGGACCGGCCCGGGTAGCCACCGGGTCCGGTCCGGGCCTCCGGTTTTTTTTTTTTTTTGTTGCTTTCCTAACTCCCCCCCCCCCCCCTCACCCCCACCCCCCCAAAACCCCTCCTAACCATCAAGCCCAACCCGGGTGTATCCCAAAAAATGAAAAAAAAATCAATTAGGCCCGGGCCCGACCCGGCCGGTTCGCCAAATACAAGGCCCGAGCCCCCCCCCACCGGGCCTAGGCCCGACCCGGACCCGAGAACCGGGCCGGTTCCGGTCCCGCACAGTAGCGGGCAGGGCCGGTCCCGGGCCGGGCGGCCCGAACCGGGTCCATGACTAGGCGGAGCCATGCACCCTTTGAGGTGTGGTGTCAATTGACACCACTTAATATTTATTCTTCCATATATAGGTATATTTTTTAAAAAAATTAAATTGACACCACTGAAAAATAAAAAATCTATTTATAGCATAGATAATCTTTTATAAATTGACACCACTGACACTAGATTCTGGCTCCGCCCCTGCATGAAGGTAAAATTGTGTGACTAATAACAAATGAAGATAGAATTTATGGGACTAAATCAGCACATATTGATTCCTTTAAGTTATTCAACACTAATATACTGACATGCAATTGTGAATTGGGACACTCCATTTAGGAATTACCAAAGCATTGGCGAAGCGATGCAGTGAATTCAATGGTGTATGAGGCAAATGCTAGGGTTAGAGATCCTGTCTACGGTTGTGTAGCAGCCATTTCATGCCTTCAAGAACAAATTGACCAACTCCAAACACAGTTGGCCATTGCGCAGGCTGAGATGGTGCACTTGAGAATGCGGCAGTTCTCAGCTATGTCAAGCACCAGCTCCGCTATGGACTCACCAGGAAACGCCATTTACGACGTCATTTGATATAGTTAGATGTAGTTGGGCTAGAACTCTAAAGATATGCTCACATATATGTCATATGTGTGTGTCAGTGTGTTGCAAGCTAGCTCGCAGGTCGCAAGGCTGAGTTGGTCAATATTTTAGCATGCAAAGGCAGTTGACCAAGCCCCCTTTCTACTTTTGACCATAGAAAAGTAAAAATAAAGTCTTTAAAAGCATTGTTTCTTAATTTTGACCATTTCAAAACTAAATGTTTTAACTTTTAAGTAAGAGAATGATGCTTAAAACTATTTTTCACTTTTGTAATAATATTTTGCCTAAATGAGTGAGTTATTGAGTTGCATTACTGATCATTTCAACTTCAAATTTTTAAGTATTTTCTTTTATATTAAGAGCCCATTTGGTAGCACGAAAATAAGCTGCTTTGGCTGATTCTGCTAAAATTTATGAAGTTCTGGCTGAATTGGCTGCATTGACTGATTCTGCTGATTTAAGAAAAAATTATTTTTAAAATATATTTTATTAATGAAATAAAGAAAAAATTATATGTAAAAATAGCTAAAGTGGTCATCTACAGTAACTTCGGCCAATACAGCCAGAAAAGTAACTCCAACCTTACTTTTTATGTTTATTACACAATTCAGCGCACGAAAGCAAAAGTTACGTGTTTAGTGAAAAAATTTACTGAAATGCATGATAAGCCAAAAACCAATGTTACCAAACGACCTCTAATTGTGCATTATGGTCTGTTTTTAATTTTTATCATAATTCTCTGCCCCAGTAAAAAACCGGCCGTCCTAGTCAGGTTCCGGGATCTTGTCGACTCGTAGTGGTATATATTGCAAATATAGCATGAAACAGTTTGCATGCAGCCCAACATATAATGGAACCAAGAGTACCAACGCTTTATACCACAAACATACTATGCTAGTCTTACATGTCACATCCAAAACTTTACTTGATGTAATAACACTACTGTGTGTCTGTGTCTTCCCTTTGTAAATGAACCACTACTTATGCATTTTACCCTCGTAACAGATGGTGTGCTTTGCTTTGTGGTGTCGTTAAAAATCTTTATCCCTAGAGGCTAGAGGAGTCGATGTATTGTTCTCGGACAACTACTAGACTGGAGACCATTAATAAATCATATTTTCAGGATGCATCAATGGCAGCATGCTCAAGGACCTTTGGGACATTCACATTGCAGCGTTGACAATCGTCATCACCTTGACATGAGACTGGTGCTTGGGATATAACTAGGAGTGACGACAGCTGAATTGATTGATAATTAAAAAATGATGTCACGCAAAGAGGGAAAAAAACCTTAGAAACATGTAAATAGAATACTTGCCTATATGCTGTAAAAACTGACCTTCGTTCCAGCTACTATGGTGCTGGTTATGGGATGAACTGTGCATGCCGTAACCCCTTCTCTTAATGAGATAAATTCATTTCGTCTGTGTTGATTTTGTACTTGGCTTGTGCCTTCTATCTCCTCACTATAACAGACATAGTCATCATCACAAGCATTAGTCCAATTTCGAGATGATAACTGTCAGTTTTTTTCCTAACACAAAAAGCTGTGCCTTGAGGATATGCATTCATGTGTGGCTTCAAATGAGAGAGGCACAAAAGTACAGAGTTCTTTCAAAGGATTTTGCAAATGTACGAGAATTAGGAATCTAGATGAATATTTTGAATTGCCAACTCGACCAAGTACAAGAAGACTTCTGCTTTTTTGAACAAAGTTACCGCCCTTACATTTTGTTTACTTTTATTTAGATCTTTTACATAAAACAAAGCTATACTTGGAAAGGCAAAACAAAAAGACGTGCATTAATATCTATGTTGGACAAATGGGAACTTGATTGTAGGATGGAGTATAATAGAACAAAGTAAAAACCTATGAGGATTTAGAAGTTCATACTCAAAATCTACATGGCATGGGGAGCTACAGTCCGGGTAGAAATCCAAAAGGTGAAGTCCATCATCTGATCCAACTGCATAGATCTGGATTTAGAAGTACCAAACAAATTAAGCTCAGTGAACTTGTACTTCAATGAAACACTAATACAAACCATAATTCCAGCAAATTGTAGCTGAATAGAGTCCATACTGAAATTGATAGTGGTTGGAAATCATAAACACAGACAGGACAACCACCTCAAGAAACTAAGATTCCATCTTGAGGTGAAACCAATTAAATAATTAGCTAAATTATTAATTGCAAATAGCAAGTGGCGGGCATGGAAGATAATATTATGTGTTTCTGTGTTAATGTATGAAGTACATACACCTCCTTTTCCAAACTGTGGCAGGGTTCTGTACAGATGATATATTCTTCTATTACCATGTGAAATTTATACACTCCTGCCCTTTTTCGTGGCCCTAATTGTATGTCTGAAGCATCTTGCCACATCAAGTATCATTGAACACATATGTAATATTTGGTACATTTGCGACCTAATTATTGAACTTACTAAAATATTTAGTGTTTCAACTAGTATCCTTTTTTTCAATAGTGTATCTTTGTCATACATATTTCCATCATTTGCAATGGAGCCAAAGTTTACCTATTTTTGGCTTGGGAATATAATGGAATAAAGCAAAATGGTTCTCTAAACTGTCTGTCCTTTGTTATGGAGCAGCAGTCAGTCCATGCAATTTTCGACGCGATTTTCACCATGGGTCATCTGGAAACAGTCTCCCTGTGCTTTAGTACAGGGATAAGGTTGCGTACATCCGACCCCTCCTTACCCCACCATAGGTGGGAGCCTTTGCAGCACTGGGTGAAAGACATTGGAATATGCTGTATAAATATGCTTTAGAATATTCTTCTATCTTTAGAATATGCTTTAGAATATTTTAGGAATATACTCTAGGATATTATTATTGTATAGCATCTTATAGGAATATTCTATCTTTGTAATGTATATATATAGGGACTTAACCCTCCAATGAAATACACAGAAAATCCTTCTCTCCATCTTTATTATCATTCTAGTTTATATTTCAACATGGTATCAGAGCCTTCCATTTTAGTTTAGTTTTTCCAGATTTTAGTTAATTTTCGGACTGGATTCTTCCTTGAGTTCAGTCTTCAGAACCTTCGACACCAATCTGTCTCTAAATTCTTTCTTCAGGATTTCAGTTGTCTGATTCTTGAGGAACTTGAGTTCAGTTTTTTTTTTCCAGATTCTTCAGAACCTCTAAATTTCCCAGAAAATCAATTTTCACAGTCTGTCCCCAGACCTCACAAATTTCAGACCACACATTTCATCACCACCGTACCAGAAACAAAATTCCGACACCCATACTCTAAGCGAGTGAGCCGCACGCGCCTCCACAGCACGGCGAACTTAATTCACGCGCCGGCGCGTCTCGTCTGTTCTCCGGCCAGATTTCCGATCGAAAACCACCCATCAGCTCGCCTGTGTATGACCTCTCTTTTGTGGTTGCTCGTTTCGTCCTGGTAAGCATTAGTTCCTGCCTCGATAGCATTTTTTTTCAATTTTTTTTAAAAAAAAAAAGAACAAAAAAAAAGAACAAAAAAAAATTGAAAAAAAAAATTGAAAAAAAAAACAAAAAAAAAGAACAAAAAAAAATGGAGATGTTTCGTACATGTCAATATGACAGAGGAGTAATATGCAATTACTGCAAGAAGTCTGGACACTTGCTCAAAGATTGTAGAAAGTTGGCATTCAAAAATTCGGGAAATTTGATTGCTCATGTTGCTTCCGCTACCACCTCATCTGATGGATCAGTTGCTATTTCTTCGGATGAATATGCCAAATTTATTTGCTACCAAGAATCTCTAAAGCATTCATCTGTCTCTATCTCGGTAGCCGCGAATTCAGGTATTTCAAACACATGTCTTGTTTCGTCATCCTCGAAATGGGTCATTGACTCAGGTGCCACAGATCATATGACTGGTAATCCTAGTCTATTCTCATCATTTCATTCACATTTACCTACTTCTAGTGTCACTTTAGCTGATGGATCTACCTCACCCGTTCTTGGATCCGGTACTATTGTCCCGACTGCTACATTACCTTTATCGCCTGTTTTGAGTCTTCCTAATTTTGCATTTAATCTGCTTTCCATCAGTAAAATCACCCGTTCTCTTAATTGTTCCGTAACATTTTTTCCTGAATATTGTGTGTTTCAGGATCTGTTAACAAAGCAGACTATTGGTAAAGGACATGAGTCGGGTGGTCTTTATATTTTGGATACATCAATCACAAAAGGTATCTCCTGTCTTGGAGTTGAAAATCTGTTAGAAGCTCATTACCGATTAGGACATCCATCTCTCCCGCTAATGAAGCAAATATATCCTCAGTTTAATAAGGTGTCATCTATACAATGTGAGTCATGTGAATTTGCAAAACATCATCGTACTAGTTTAAGTCCCCGACTTAATAAACGAGCAAACGCTCCGTTTGATCTTGTTCATACTGATGTTTGGGGGGCTTGTCCTGTTGTGTCTAAATCTGGTTTCAAATATTTTGTAACCTTTGTTGACGATTATTCTCATATGACATGGTTATATTTTATGAAACGTCGGTCAGAATTATTTACCCATTTTTCTGCATTTTGTGCTGAAATCAAAACTCAATTCAATGTTCCGGTTCGTGTGTTGAGGGGAGACAATGCCCAAGAATATTTATCTGCTCCATTTAAAACTTTTATGCTTCAACATGGCATTATTCATCAAACTTCATGCGTAGCCACGCCTCCTCAAAATGGAGTTGCTGAAAGAAAGAATCGACATCTCTTAGAAACTGCAAGGGCTCTTCTATTCCAAATGAATGTGCCCAAACAGTTTTGGGCTGATGCTGTGTCTACTTCATGTTTTTTGATCAATCGTATGCCATCTTCTGTTTTGGATGGTAAAACTCCTTATCAATGCCTTTTTCCAAATAAAGAACTTTTTCCCATTCCACCTAAAATATTTGGGTGCACTTGTTTTGTTAGAGATGTTAACCCTCATCGCACAAAGTTGGATCCCAAATCATTGAAATGTATTTTCTTAGGTTATTCTCGAGTTCAAAAGGGGTATAGATGTTTTTGTCCGAGTACAGGTCGATATCTTATTTCTATTGATGTCTCATTTCATGAAAATACACCTTTTTCATCATCCAAGACAGATATTCATGAGGACAACGATGACATACTCATTTATACAGTTACTATACCTGAGACCACACCTTTAGTAACTATGCCGAATGTCACTGTTCCTGACCCTATACCTCCTGTACACTTGGTTTACACCCGTCGACACAAAGCACAAAATCACTCTCCACCTGTGACACCTGTGATTACATATCCTGATATTGGTCCAACTTCGATCTCATGCCCTGAACCAGTACCTGCATCTTCAGATCTTGTCTCTACATCAGATCTTGACCTCCCAATAGCACTACGTAAAGGTACACGGTCTTGTACTCATCCTATTTCTTCATTTGTGTCGTACAATCAGTTATCTCCTGCTTCATGTTCTTTTATTGCTTCCATTGATTCTATTTTTGTTCCCAAATCTGTCAAAGAAGCTTTGTCTCATCCTGAATGGCGTCATGCCATGGTAGAGGAAATGAATGCTTTAGATCTTAATGGTACTTGGGATTTGGTTGACTTGCCTACAGGGAAGAAATCTATTGGATGTAAGTGGGTCTTTGCTGTAAAGGTTAACCCTGACGGATCCGTTGCTCGGTTGAAAGCCCGATTAGTAGCGAAGGGTTATGCTCAAACCTATGGTGTTGATTATTCTGACACTTTTTCTCCTGTTGCTAAATTAACATCTGTCAGGTTACTTATTTCTCTCGCTGCAACTAATGGTTGGCACTTACATCAGTTAGACATTAAAAATGCATTCTTGCACGGTGATCTTCAGGAGGAAGTTTATATTGAGCAACCTCCAGGGTTTGTTGCTCAGGGGGAGTATGGAAAAGTGTGTCGACTTCGCAAGTCTCTTTATGGTTTGAAACAGAGTCCCCGTGCATGGTTCGGGAAATTCAGTCAATCAATTGAACGATTTGGAATGATAAAGGGCAAATCAGATCACTCTGTATTTTATAGACGAACAAAAGCAGGTATCACATTGCTTGTGGTGTATGTCGATGATATTGTGATTATAGGGAGTGATAATGCAGGTATTTTGGCTCTTAAGAATTTTTTTCATAGTCAATTCCAGACGAAAGATTTGGGCTCATTGAAATACTTCTTGGGGATTGAGGTTATACGGAGCAAGAAAGGCATATTTCTATCTCAACGTAAATATGTGCTTGACTTGCTAACTGAAACAGGGAAACTGGGGGCAAAACCGAGCAATACTCCCATGATTCCCAATGTGCAGCTCACTCATGAAGGCGTACCATTCGAAGATCCAGAAAGATATAGAAGGTTGGTTGGAAAGCTTAATTATCTCGCAGTTACCCGTCCAGATATTGCGTACTCAGTGAGTGTAGTAAGTCAATATATGTCATCTCCGACAGTTGATCATTGGAATGTTGTAGAGCATATATTATGTTACTTGAAGGGGACACCAGGACGAGGTATTGTTTATCAAAATCATAACCACATGAGAATAGAATGCTTTGCAGATGCTGATTGGGCTGGATCTAAAGATGATAGAAGATCTACATCTGGCTATTGCGTCTTTGTTGGTGGTAATCTCGTCTCTTGGAAAAGTAAGAAGCAGAATGTGGTTTCTCGTTCGAGTGCTGAATCAGAATATCGGGCTATGGCACAATCGGCATGTGAGATAATCTGGATAAACCATCTATTGAGTGAAATCGGACTGAAGACACCAATGCCTGCTAAACTCTGGTGTGATAACCAGGCTGCTATACGCATTGCCAACAACCCAGTGTTTCATGAGAGAACAAAACATATTGAGGTCGATTGTCACTTTATTCGAGAAAAGATACAACAAGGATTGATCTCTACAGGATATGTGAAGACGGAAGAGCAACTTGGAGACGTGTTCACTAAAGCACTAAATGGAATTCGTGTTGGTTATTTATGTAACAAGTTGGGCATGATAAATATCTATGCTCCAACTTGAGGGGGAGTGTGAAAGACATTGGAATATGCTCTATAAATATGCTTTAGAATATTCTTCTATCTTTAGAATATGCTTTAGAATATTTTAGGAATATACTCTAGGATATTATTATTGTATAGCATCTTATAGGAATATTCTATCTTTGTAATGTATATATATAGGGACTTAACCCTCCAATGAAATACACAGAAAATCCTTCTCTCCATCTTTATTATCATTCTAGTTTATATTTCAACAGGGTAATATGATGAATAATGATGATGTATCTTTGTCATACAGATAATGAACAAACGCCATTTCAAAATTTTCAGTACACATCTATTTTTACATGTTTGGCCCTCTTTTACAATTTACCCATCACCCTCAACAGTGAAGCACATCCCTTGATTTCATGATATAGTTTTTAGTTTTCAAGCTAAAAAGGTTACCTGGTAAAAAAAAGCTAAAAAGGTTACTGAGCTAACCCTAAATTGTCTCTTTCCACCTATATTGGGAAACATACATATATTTTTCAATCATTTCATTTACCACAGTGCCGCAAAGGCTCCGACCTATGGTGGGGTAAGGGGGGGTCAGATGTACGCAGTCTTACCCTGTACTAAAGCACAGAGAGACTGTTTCCGGATGACCCATAGTGAAAAACGCATCCAAATTGCATGGACTGACTGCTGCTTCATAACAAAGAAGCGCAGACAGTTTAGAGCCATTTTGCTTTATTCCATCACATTCTCAAGCCAAAAAATAATGAATCTTTGGCTCCATTGCAAATGATGGAAAAATTTTCAATATGGAAAATTATTTTTAAAATTTATAACTAGTCAGCATTAGTTATAAATTCCTTAAGCAGAATAACCACTTGAGGAGTGAGACAATCAAGCGAAAAGTGAGAGACTGATAGTAGCACTTATTGAAGATAAGCTGTGAGAGTCTCAGTTGTAGTGGTTTAGTCATGTGTTGAAGACCGAGTGATGCACTTGTTAACGGATTGAGAGGTGTGGAGAGAAGGGAGGAAGGAGAGGGAGGGGATGATCTAGAAAGATGTGGATTAAAGTGGTTAAGAATGATACCATAATATCTTAGATAAGAGTGACTTTGGAGAGGGCGAAGTTAAGTGAGAGTACAATTGTGGAGGTTTGATCTTATTTGTCTCCAGCTCTCTCTATTTATTGTTTTGAACTCTCATATCATATATCTATTCATGTTAGCCGAACCCAAACTCTTTTGGGATTGGAGACCACGAATGCCATTAACAACCATGAGAACCACTGCAGGAAAGTAGGAAACTACCACCATTGGCAGCAATCTCAGCAAATAGTAGAAACCACCACCACCAATTGCCACTGCCTGCAGCCACTGTCAAAAAGCAACCAACATAACCAACGGCTACTCGGTTCCGACAAGGCGACAACCACTGTCAACATTAAAGTCACCAGCACCGCCATACCGCCATCACCGTCGTCTATTTCGACAACTAACCACATCTACCAGCACTTTCAAACACATCAACTATCAACAAGTCAACAACCACTGCTCGCTAGTATGAAGTATTGAAAGGTATAGGATATAAGTATTGAAAGGTATAGTATATTCGGTGTAAAAGCATGTACACTATGCATGTATGATACAAGTAGAGAACATCAGAAGTGCTAGGCAGGGCCATGCTAACTAGGGAAACACTCAAACGCTGGGCTTGGGGATACAATACATTCAAGACTCCACACAAGCTTGAGCATATAAGCATAAAGCATATTGACACTAGCTTGTTACAAATATATTTTATTCTAGGAACGAAAAGAAACTTAGTAAAGACATGAGCCAATTGATCAACCGAATTAATGTATCTAAGTTACAATGCACCCTGACATGATCTTCTCCCTCATCAAATGAAAATTAAACTTTATATATCAAATACTTTCATTGTCTGTACACCAGGTTCAATTATATAAGATCGCATTTTGCAAGATTCATAGCATGTAGAAAGAAGAGGGTTGTTAAGAAGGGATTGTTTGATTAGATAGGTTTCAGCAGAGGGACTAAAGAGCTTAACTACCCATCATGGTTGCAAGCAACACATGGAACTAACATTATATGGTCGCCAGTGGATAACGATCCGATCTGTAAAAATCACTGGAAAAGATTGCCAGGAAATTTGGTGGTTGATGCCGGAACTCATGACGGCACATGGGATGGGTGGTGATTGGATATATTTAGCATTGTTTGCTGGTGGTTTCTAATCCATTCCCTGATTTTAACTTTATCACACATAATTAAAAAGGAACTCTGTAAGGAATAAATGTATTTAGATTTTGATGATGCTAGGTCAATTAGAATATTGGTGTACCCCTTTAGAAATCTTGTATTAGAATTTTTCTTTGCAAGTATTAGCATAGTCGACTGGCCAGAGTCCTCTTGGTCTTTGTGATCAAGAGCTGCTACCAGAGCTACTCCTCAGAGAAGCACCAGAGTCCGACACCAGAGCTGCCATCAGGACTAGCCATCAGAGTGATATAAGAGAACCTCATCAGACTTGCTGCTACTTAGAAGAACACGAAGGTACCTCCAACGACCGTGAAACTAACGGGAAATACCCTAACGGCTAGAAGACTTTCCCTGAAAAGAAAAAGGAAAGCATTTAATGCTCATTTAATGAGCCTGATACGTTGTGAAGTAATTGCAGATGATTGACCGAGATTCCTGGAGAATATTATACAAAAATAGCAAGCTACCAAACTTGTGAGTCCAACATGTCAACTCCACAGTACGCGCTTTCAATGCAGTTGTCTCCTCCTCCAACGGGAAGACAACTCCAGTATAAAAGATACACTTCAAAGAACTACAGGATAACTTTTGCCCACACCTTCAAAGCTTTCTTGAGATCTTAACATTTTCTTCCTCAAAAGCAAGAAAAGTTTACGTTGGAAAGATATTATACTCCTATCCCTCCTTCCAACTCAGAGCAAAGTTCCACCCCAGTTCTTCAACAACTTCAAGCACTTCATTTACAAATCTTTTGTGACGAAGCAAGTTGGAGAAAAACTCTGTTTTTCTACAGAATATCTTCTGCAAAGAAGGAAGTCTTAAAGTAGCTGGAGTAGTGAAGTGGTGATACTTCAAGGAGACTCAGTGAAACAAGACCAGTCTTAAAGAAAGCAAGGAAGTGCATCCCAGGAGACATCTACACTTGAAGAAGACGTGGAGAGCTTCTTAAGTGCTAGGACTTAAGTGTTGTAATTGGTTTATTACAAACTTAGTGGAACAGTGGACTAGAGGAACAAGTTGTTCCTTGAACCACTATAAAAACCCCGGTTTCATTTATTTTCAGCATTTAATTTCTGCTCCTAGGATTTTAACTGTGAAACTCTTAAGAACTTGAAATCTGTGTTTAGCAGATCTTGGTCTAAGAGTTAATAGAAAGGCATTTGCCTTAGCATTTTCCTGAGGCTACACAGACAGAACTCTTATCCGCTGCCAGGTCCAGTTCTAACATCAGAACTCGACCTTCTTTATCACCAGATTCCGACCTTCTCTGATAAGTCAGTATAGACTATTAGAAAAGTTTGAAAAATCTGAACAATCTATTCACCCCCCCCCCCCCTCTAGACTGTTCCCTACTTAAACGGGACCAACAAACTCCCTCCATCTCAAATGAAGGGTTACAGTTTGACTTTTCAAGTCAAACGTCACGATATTTTACCACTAATTTTCATTCATAGTATTATTTGAAAACATGTTTTCCATCATTTCCAATGGAGCCAAAGACTCAATATTTTTTGGCTTGGAATATGATGAAATAAAGCAAAATGGCTTACTAAACTGTCTGCGCTTCTTTGTTATGAAGCAGCAGTCAGTCCATGCAATTTTCGACACAATTTTCACTATGGGTCATCCGGAAACAGTCGTTCTGTGCTTTAGTACTGGGGTAAGACTGCGTACATCCGACCCCCCTTACCCCACCGAAGGTGTGGAGCTTTTGCGGCACCGGGGTAATGATGATGAATGATGATGGCGATGAAGTATTATTTGAAAACATGAAAGTACTCCAGACCAATTTGTTTTAATATTTTTTATGAAATTTGGAACTATTAAAAAAATTATTGATATAAAATTGCACCGCATATACAATAATGGTCAAACAATACTTGGGTATTGTTTAAAGATGATCCACTCTTCCTATTTTGTATTTAGTTAAGCTTTGACCCCCCTCCCGAATCGTTTTTCTAGCTCCACCACTGGCTATAGGCATCCAAAACTGCTAAAGGGTAACCGTTTTCATCAATACAATTAGTTTATCATAACTGAAAACAAAGCTAAGCACCAATGGTCTAGATAACTCTGTATCTTAACTACTGATCAAACAGATATTAGACGTTACACATCCTACTTATTTTTTCTTTCTAACTCATTTTACTGAATTAAAAAACACAAATCGAACAGAGCTCAAAGGTATATAAAACCATCAGGATAAAATGTATCAGAGGCTATAGCATCTTACCGAATAAGAAGGCAGCCATGAAGGCTTTCGTAGGTGGCCAAGGTTTCCCAATCCATCAATGTTATCTCTAGTTCAAACTAACAGAAATCCGTAAGAAGCAAGAAAATTGTTTTCAGTTTAGGTCAATTCAAGAATGAAGCATCTATCATACCGTAACCAAGCTGGAGGGGGGCAATGCACATGTGTTACCTTCATACAGTTGGTATCAAAAACACCAGACCTGTGAAAGAAGCCAGAAGAGAAGCCTAGTAAAATGCATTAGCATATATCAATTGAGTATATTAAGGATTGCACAGAATGTCAGACATTAGCTAGTGTTCCTCCCAAAATTTTATCTAATGTTCCCATATGAATGAAATAACATTTTTAGATTATATCTACTTCTTTAAGAAAATGTGAGGATACCATTACTTCATAGTTGACAAATTTTATATATTCTGAGACATCACATCCTATGAAAAATTAAATGGGCTCAAGAACAGTGAGTCTACCATCCATACCATACCAATATCTGTTATACTTTTATATTTTGATATTTTGATTTAAATTATTACAGTACATGTCTGAGATTTTAAGTAAATTTAACGGAAAAAATCGAAGACCACAAAGTAAATCTAGGACATTACATGTTTGTTTATCCCAAAAATCAATTAATTGAAAGTCAGAGCTGAAGATCCAAGTTCTGAAGGAGATGAAAAATGGCCTTAGAGAGATCTTTTATGTGATTTTGTGAATTTATATACTTTGTATTTCTTTTCAAACATACCAAGCATCATCAAGATGAAATGCCAATTGATATTGGCAAGATGGATTAATGTCAATGGAGTGTATTTCCTTCATGCGAACATTAGACTGAGCCTGCAATTTAGTGTTAAGATGAAAGTCATTAATAGAAATGGCCATACAAAATAAAGCAAAAAGTCAGCTTTTTTTTTCTTTTTGAAGTTAAAGTACTACTTATATGCACCCAGGATATACTCACTACTCAGAAGTTGTTTTAAAAAACATGTATAGTCTTATTCACAAAAAAGGATCTTATGTATTCATGTGGTCCTCCTGGTCTTCAGCTAAGAACATCCAAACAGCTAAGAGCTAGATACAGAAAGCACAGTGCTTGTATTGATTCTAGAGAGATAAACCAAGCATTCCTGCTCAGCTGGTTGTGAGGTTACCGTGCCTAGTGGGAGGTCTCGAGTTCGAAACGCGCTAGGCGCATAAGGGTTTGAAACTCAATGGAGTGAGTTTCAACCCTGATTACTCCAGGCAATCCTGGGTCTATTCTGGATGCAGCCGAGCACTACAACCAGGCAATCCTGGGTCTGATCTCATCAACACTCTACTTGTGTCATCAAAACAGACCACTGCCAGCCAGCAGGCAGGTCATCCCACTAGCCACCCCAATTCATGGCCAAGCCCAAATCAGGAGACAGGTCATCCTACTACCAGTGACATAAACTCGATGATTTGTGCAATGTAGTAGTAATTAACAATTGTTAGAAAAGTCATTGATACAAAATTTAGTATTTTAGATACTTTTCAAGATCATTGACGTATTTAAAGTGAATAAGTTACAAACATGAGGACATAATATGGTGGTTTAATGGTCACTGGTTTTGAAAGTTATTTAAAATACTAAACCAACATTCATTTTAAAGTTCATATTTGGAACTCTGATACAGTGATACCATACATCAATAATGTGGATAAGTGTTGTTGTGCTTATTGTTATTACTATTGATATTGAACTAATCATTAAATTCATATCAACATCCATTTGCAGTTTTAATAATAATAATAATTATAATTATAACATCATATATTCTTTATTTAAATACTTTTAAATTGAATAAGCTTAAAAAATGGTGAACGTAAAAAAAGGTATTTATTTATTCTTATATTTTAATTTATAATATTTCTATTTCTTTTACATGAAGTTACTATATTATTTAATAAATCAGTTAAGGACAGTTATTCTAACTTTTATCTAGCGTTAGTGAGGTTTCTGATATTTCTTAAACCTGGGAAAGTGCCTCGTTCTGAAGGAGTAAGGAGGTCCAAGTGATATTTCAATAGGTCTCAGAGAACGTTTAAGATACTTTGCCTAATGTGTATTAATGTATAGTAGTGACCTAATCGAGAAAAATAGCATCGAACATAGGGCACCTATTCTGCTGTTTCCTCTTATAATGGTTATTTATGTCTTATCTATAGGGTCTTTCATCCTCTTCAGATGGACATGCTTGATATGCTATACAAACCGTATGATCATATGCAATAAACATCACTATTTTTCTTAAGCTTTTCTCTTGTCCTTGCCACATAATAACCGTGTGGATTGAACAGCTATATATTAGACTGGAAGAATTAAACCAGCAGCTCCACTTTAGCTATATGTCCAACAATCTCCTAAATGAAGGCAGAAGGCATAATTGATCCTATAAGCAGTGCATTACATTATGCAAAAATTGATCAATAGCCTACTAATATTGATCCACCAATTAGAGGAAAGGGTAGATATAAGAGAACAATTGTTAGAACCTGCAATTCTATTCTAACCGATCACAGAATTGATTCAAGAACTCAAGGCAACTTTTATTACTTAGGCAACAAGATAGAGATACAACTCTGATCTTCCCACTCCAGATTACAAGTCAAAACAGCCTCCTCTACCATACCCAGTCGTATGCTATTTATAGTAAGAAAAGATAACAAACGGTAGTTATTAGCTACTAACAAACTTAACTAATAACCGACCTTATTTTCTCCTATAGTACACTTTACCAAAGTATTTACCCCCTCTATTCGAATTATTAAAGTCCCTATCAATTCTTCCCTCCTAAAAATCCAACTTCCCCTCAAGTTGGAAAGTAGGAAATTGTTGTTTGATGTTATGTTCTGTCTCCCATGAATCTTCCAACTCCGGAAGATCTCTCCAATGTATCAAAACTTCCTTTTCTCCGGCTGAATTTCTTCTAACACCCTTCACTTCCTCAGGCCACACCAATAGTTCACAATCCTCAGTCAAACATTTAGGAAGATCTTGGCAGAAGCTTCCAGGTTTCAACTCCTTCTTCAAAAGGGATATATGAAAGACTGGATGGATCCTGCACCCTATAGGATCTCAAAGGGTCCATAGAACCTGGGACTCAATTTTTGATTAATTCTCCTGGCTAGACTCCTCATCTTGTAAGGCTGTATCTTTAAATACACTCTGTCACCAACCTGCAACTTCAACTCTCTTCTATGTCTGTCAGCTTGTTGCTTCATTAAATTTTGAGCCTGAGTTAAATGTTCTTTCAATTCTTTCAACACTTCATTTCTTTCTGCTGTCAATTTTGATACTTCCTCCACAGCTGATAGGCTGACATCTCCCCTGGTAATTACAGGTGGGTCTTGACCAAATGGTGCCTTATAAGGAGTGTCTTGTAAGGATATATGATAATTTGTGTTGTACCATAGTTCTGCCCATGGCAACCATTTAACCCACTGCTTGGGTTTCTTGTCAGTCATGCATCTTAAGTAAGTCTCTAAACAACGGTTGATTACTTCCGTTTGTCCATCACTTTGAGGATGATATGCAGTACTATACTCTAGTGTAGTACCTGCTGCCTTGAATAATTCTGACCAGAATGTGCTCAAGAAGAGGTTGTCTCTATCACTTACTATGGATCTGGGAAATCCATGTATTTCACTACTTCTCTCATAAACAACTCAGCAACTTCCTTAGCATTGTAGGGATGGGATAGAGGTAAAAAATGAGCAAATTTTGATAACCGGTCAACCACTACCAAGATGGTATCTTTTCCAAAAGATTTAGGTAAACCTCCTACAAAATCCATACTGATATCAGTCCAAGTATGAGTAGGTATAGGTAAAGGCTGTAATAAACCTGCAGGTTTTAAAGCCTGGTATTTGTTCCTCTGACATGTGTCACATCCTTGAACAAATCTTTGAACCTCAGATCTCATCCCCACCCAGTAGAATAGATTGGATATCCTTTTCATTGTCCTGAACTGCCCTGAATGTCATCCCAATGCTGATTCATGATACTCTTTTAATATCTTTGCAATTCTGGCAGACCCTTTTGGTATTACCAACCTTCCTTTGAAATATAGCAATCCACCTTTGATCATAAAATTCCTCACCTTGTCTGGTTGAGTTAAAACCTTCTGAATGATACCACCACACCATGAACCTTCTCCAATTCTTGCTCCAGCCCCTTCCACTCTTGACAAGTCACTATGGATAAGGAAAACATAGTCATCTTCCTAGAAAGAGCATCAGCTGCACCATTCTCCATTCCTGGTCTGTACTTGATCACAAAATTATAACCCATCAGCTTAGTGATCCATTTCTGTTGATCCTCTCCCATAATCCTTTGCTCAGTAAGGTATTTTAGGCTCCTTTGGTCTGTTATCACCTCAAACTATCTACCTAAAAGGTAGGGTCTCCAATTTTGGATAGCAAAAACTATTGCCATAAGTTCTTTCTCATAGACGGACTTCATTTGGTGTTTGGCAGCTATTTCTTTACTCATATAGGCTATGGGCCTTCCTGCATCAATACAGCACCCACACCCTTACCGGAAGCATCAGTTTCCACAGTAAAGGTCTTACTGAAATCAGGGGTTCCTAGTACTGGTAGAGTGGTCATGGTCAATTTCAACTCTTCAAATGCGCTTCTAGCCTCTTCATCCCATCTGAATCCATCATTCTTCAATAACTGAGTTAATGGAGCAGCAATTTTGTTGTACCCTTTGACAAATCTCCTATAGTAGCCAGTCAACCCCATAAAACCTCTCAAACCCTTTAAATCTCGTGGTTCCTTCAAACTCTTCATGGCTTCTATTTTGCTTGGATCTGCAGATACCCCATTTTCAGAAATGATATGCCCTAGGTAAGACAACTGTTGTTGACCAAAAGAACACTTCTTCCTATTAGCCACCAGCTTATTCTCCTTCAGTGCTGTGAGGATCTGCTTTAAGTGTTCCTTGTGTTCCTCTAAAGTTTTGTTGTACACTAGTATGTCATCAAAAAATACTAATGCAAACTTCCTTAGGAAAGGTCTTAGAACCTCATTCATTAGAGCTTGAAAGGTAGATGGTGCATTGGTCAACCCAAATGGCATTACCAAATATTCGTAATGCCCTTCATGCGTCCTAAATGCAGTTTTATGTGTATCCCCCAGCTTTCATGCGGATCTGGTGATAACCAGATTTCAAATCTAACTTGGAAAATACTTTAGCCCCATCTAACTCATCAAGTAACTCTTCAATTACGGGAATTGGGAACTTATCAGGCACTGTTATCTTATTTAATGCTCTGTAATCCCCGCAGAAACGCCAACCTCCATTCTTCTTTCTGGCTAATAGAATGGGACTACTGTAGGGGCTATTACTGTTCTTTATTATACCAGAATTGAGCATTTCCTTAACAATTCTTTCTATTTCATTTTTCTGATCATAGGAGTACCTGTATGGTCTTAGATTTGGGATGTTGGAGCCCTCTTTGATATTGATGGAATAGTCACAGGCTCTCTCCGGTGGAAAATCCAATTCAACTTTGAATACTTCTGGAAATTCCTTCAATATCTTCTCCCAGTCTTTGTTCCCAGTTTGTTGCAGTTCTTGCCCTAGCTGCTCTTGTTGTTTTATCTCACAATAGAGCAAATAGCCATCCCTATTTGCTGAATGATCTGTGTCATGGTTTTTAAAGGTACTTCCATTTTATTAAGGTTTATGTCTCCCTTAATACTGCATTCTTGTCCTTTATTCTTCCACCTTAGGATCTGTTCATGGAAATTTACCTCCATATTTCCCAATTTAGTGAGCCAGTCTAATCCCAGAACTACATCAGTTTCTCCTAGTTCCAATATGTAGAAGGTTTCATTGATTTCATTTCCTTGCACCATCAATTTGATTCCCATACATCTGCCTTTGTTGTATATGACTTCACCATTACCTATTTGCACCTTATACCCCTCTATAGGTTTGAAAGGTATGTCCCACTGGTTCACCAATCTCTGGGATATAAAGTTGTGGGTGGCCCCGCTGTCAATCAGTATTTTGACCTCCTTTTCCTCCATAGCCCACTTCAATTTTCCCAGAACCTTGAAGGTTCTCATAGAAGGGATACCCCTTTGCTGAGTACAGATAGTTGCATAGATTTCAGTTCAGGTTGGATCTTATCTTCTCCTTCAGCACAACTGCAATTAGCTTCAGTTTCTAGCTCTTCCTCAGACTGTTCCATCAAAACCAATTGAAAGTTTTTCATCCTGCAAACGTGTCCCCTGCTCCAGTTCTCTCCACACTTGAAGCATAACCCTTTTTTGCTCCTATCCATAAGTTCATTTTGTGATAATTTGGGGCCAAATTTTCTGGAACTAGAGCCTTCACCATTGTCCCCCCTTTTGTTATCATCTGCACTCCTCTCATAAGTATGAGTAATTACAGGATTACTACTACTCTTGATTCCATCCCCAGGTTTCTGAAAATTACTTCACTTGTTACCAAGGCTCTTCCATGATCTTTTTACTTCTTCCTTCTGCTTCCTGGACAGTATTTCTTCATTTTTATCCTCAATCAGCTGTGCCTTATCCATGATTTTCTCCAGATTCTTGGTCTTATACATCTTCAGTTCCGCCTTAATCTCTTTCTTTAACCCATTCAAAAATATGCCTCTCATCACTTTTATGTCCAGATCTTCTTGAGAGGCAATAGCAGTTTCAAACTGTTCTCTGTACTCCTATACATAATTCTTTTGTTTCAGACTCAACAGAGGCCCTAAGGGATTTTGAATTAACTCTGGTTGAAATCTACGAATCAGTGCCTTCCTCAATTTTTCCCAATTCCTTCCCTTAGCTTCTTTCTCCCACCATTGGATCCATCTGAGGGCCTTACCTTCCATTGCGACTACTGCAACCTCACATTTATCTTCCTCTTCAATGTTATTGAGTCGAAAATACCTATCGATTCTGACAAGCCATCCAAACGCGTCTTCTCCATTGAATAAAGGTAGGTCAACCTTCCTATGACTCTGATGGTGATGTCGATGTCGACGCGGAGGAGAAAGCTCAAATTGACCTTCCGATGCATCGGAACTGTCTGAAGATCGCACTGAGTGATGATGCGATGAACGATGTGAAGTGTGAGACGTATGCGACCTGCTTCGCGATCGATTTTCAGGTATTCGCGATCGATTCTCACCACATGTTTCCAATCTTGCTATCGCCGCCTGAAGGTTTGTAACATCTCCATAGTTTGTTGTTGCGATCTTTCCAGCTTATCATCCAATTCATTCATTCTGGCTTCCATCTTCGTTCTTGTCACAACCATCCACAAAGATCGTCAGTCTCTGATACCAATGTTAGAACCTGCAATTCTAGTCTATCAGATCACAGAATTGATTCAAGAACTCCAGGCAACTTTTATTACTTAGGCAACAAGATAGAGATACAACTCTGATCTTCCCACTCCAGATTACAAGTCAAAACAGCCTCCTCTACAATACCCAGTCGTATGCTATTTATAGTAAGAAAAGATAACAACCGGTAGTTATTAGCTACTAACAAACTTAACTAATAACCGACCTTATTTTCTCCTATAGTACACTTTACCAAAGTATTTATCCCCTCTATTCGAATTATTAAAGTCCCTATCAACAATGCAGTTGAACAAAACTGAGCAAGTAACGATGAATCTGTAGATAGGATGTTGAGGGGAGTTGATGTAGGATAGCATAGCACATTAAAGACGGATCAGTGAAAATGAAGCATCGTAGTTTTTACAAGTAAATGAAACCTATTATACGCAAGTTAAGAGCAACCAAGGGGTAGGTATAAAACATTGACGACATGATCTTTCACGAAAACATAATTTTTCTCTTGATCTACTATATAACATCATAGAGCCTTGGCACACCGGTTATGTTGTTGTTGTGAGAGGTCACGGGTTCAGGTCTTGGGATCAACCTCTTGACCTCTTGTCAAAATTGACAAGGGAAGGCTTTCCCCTATAAACCCATGTAGTAGGACCCTTCTCTGGAGTCCGGACCCCCACCTTGCATGAACGCCAATGTGCATCAGGCTGCTCTTTTATCTACTATATAACATCAGTCATGTAGTAGTATCTGAAATCAGATGGAACGCAAGGCAAGATTTAGGTCATGGAAATTTCAACCCACTGTGTAAAGAGTGAAGTTAGAATTTGCCTTTATTGTTGTTTCATCAACCACAACAACAACAACATCCAAGCCTTAATCCCAAAAAATTTTGGGGTCGGCTAACATGAATCGATCTATGATATCGATGCCAAAAAGAGAAGACAGACAAGAAGGAAAAAAGAAAGATAAAACGAATAAGATAAAGATAAATAAATATATGATAACAATAACATAAGAATATAAGAAAGATAAAGATTAAAAGATAAAAGAGCATAAAAAGGCTAGAAGATAAAAATAACATAAGAACCTAAAAAGATGAAGATAAACGATAAAAGAAAAAGAGATAGGAAAGATAGAAAAGAGATCAATCGTCCACACGAATGTGTGCCCTCCACTTTGCCTTCTCCAAAGTCATACTCTCATCTAACCCAAGAAGACGCATATCAGTTTTGATTCCTCTAATCCAAGTTTGTTTGGGTCTTCCCCTCCCTCTCTTCTCTGTCTCTTCTCCCCACCCCTCAAGTCATCTAACAGGTGCATCACTCAATCTTCTACGCACATGCCCAAACCACCGCAAACGAGTCTCATGCATCTTATCTTCTATAGGTGTTACTCCCACCTTTTGTCTGATTATCTCATTCCTCAAGCGGTCTTTTATGATCTTTTCATCAACCACAAAAAGGCAAATTCTAGCAGCAACTGTTGCGCTGTCTGTTAAAGTTGCACTATTTTAGTAATCGAAAGAATGGAAAAAGGGGTGGTAATTTCAAGCACAGATCTCACGAATGCTAGCTAATTTGGAACAGTCTGATTATTTTTTGTAGATGCAGGTTCCAAACTGTCCCTATTTATCAACAATATTCTTGGAGGAACATAACACGATCTCTGCATGCAATTATGCATATTTGTGAAAACTTATTGTACAAGTGATTTTAGCGTAGGGAATTTCCCATTTAAGCACTTACCATGTTTTTTTGAAAAAACACCAATTTGTAGCTTTCATAAATAAGCAATAGTTTTTTCCTCACAAACATATTTTTTGAGTAAAGTACTTTTTTTCCTCTGGATTCTGAAACACACTTATTCCTTGACAAAAGATTCTCAAATGCAGGCATTTATTACGATATTTAAAGCAGATTAAACTTCAAAAATAAGTGAGAGAACAACCATGTGATTAATCTGAGTATTTATTAATCTTCTATATGATATGATCATTCTGATAGACATACCTTCAAAGATTTAATTTTCCCAAACTCTGTTTCCAACTTCACAGACAACAGAGGAGAACAACAATCCTGAACAAGCAAAAATTTTGAACATCATGTAATAGAAAGAATTACAATTTAGGTCCCTCAAGTATTAGGTCATTCTCGCATGTGGTCCTTTTAAATTTAACTTTTCCATACAAAAAAACCATGGGAAGATTTTGATGTATTTCCCGTAGCAAGTGGCTAGATAATAAGCTAGGAGGACAACATCATCATCATCATCATCATCATCACCCCAGTGCCGCAAAGGCTCCCACCTACGGTGAGGTAAGGGGGGGTCGGATGTACGCAACCTTACCCATGTACTAAAGTACAGGGAGGCTGTTTCCAAATGACCCATAGTGAAAATCGCGTCAAAATTATATAGACTGACTGCTACTTCATAACAAAGAAGCGCAGACAGTTTAGTGAGCCATTTTGCTTTATTCCATCATATTCTCAAGCCAAAAATAGTGAGTTTTTGGCTCCATTGCAAATGATGGAACAGTAGGAGGACAACAGGTGGTAGAAAATTGATAGTTTTGCACTAAACGCATAAAAGGTGAAAGCCGGAAGCCACATGTAAGAATAGCCTAATACTTGGTCAACAAGAAGTGAAATTTTTGCTTATGTAAAACACAATGGAACTATCTGCAAAGATAATGCAATCATTCTTTGAAATTATTCTTTAAACATGGTAATGTAATTCAATATTTGGAAATCAGACATGAATAATATTTACATGTGTTGCTGAATGAGGAATGCACTTTACAATGATTGATATAATTGTTATATTGCCCAGTCGTGTCAAATTTAACATTGTTATCATAGCAAAATATATTTAGAGTAAAATGTATCTAACCATCTATATACACTTGAACAAAAACCAATTTTCTAATGTTATCAAATTATATGCATAAAAATATTAATACAGTGTTGTTCTGGAAAGCAGCAGCAGATCTTCCACCGCGTATGTCCCACATGTATATAGACCCATGCTTACTGGCCCCAAACACAACCTATAGATTAGAAGGGCAAAAAATATAATCAAGTAATATGTATTCAAATAAGTAATTTGTATTACACTTTGCCATTATAGTAAGAAAATATTTATCAAGGTTCTGACTCTAAACTGACCTGATTATCGGCATTAAGTTTTATGCTAGTAATGGCATCATTGCAATTGGTTCTGAGCTCATGACATGGAAAATGACTCATTCTTCTATCCCATACATTCACCATACCAGAGAAATCAGAAGCAAACAGCCTGACAATAAACATCGTTTTGTAAAAGATCCAAGAAACATAAGGTGAAATACAATGAACTTTGCTCAAGTTCAGCAAATAAAGACACAATATACACTTGTTTTTAATATGGGATGTCTCTCACTTTCAAGTTTCTTCTTAAGGCCTGTTGGGGTCAAGTTTGAATTTATATGTGAACAGGAGTCTTGGTGCACCGGTTTAGGTGTAACCGTGTAACCAGTACTGCTGTGTGACCTTAAGTCAGAGGTTCATGTCCTAGAAGTAACTGTTAAGGACCTTGGTACAAGACCTAGTCCAAGGCCGGTGAGGATTGAGAGAGGAATGTGAGGCTATGGTGTCTGGAATAAAAAACCCTAACTTCCTGCCCTGGGCAAGGAAGGTGATCACTGGTTCCACCAAAAGATCAAAAGATTAAATATTCCAAAAGCCAATAATTTATTCCAGGAATAAGCCTTATATAGGCAAAAGATAGTTTCCTAAAACAAAAATAGGAAACAGCCTTTAACTACTGTAATAAAGGAATAAGAAGTTGACTAAAATCTGGAAAGCTAATTAATAGGAAACAACTGAAATAAAGAAAGCTAATTAAATAGATCTGCCAGAATGATTTCTAGATTAATTAATTAGTCTCCTTTCTGCGACGTTGATATACACGGCCAAAACGGCCTGTATCATCACTTCCCCCGTTAGCAACGAGCTTGTCCTCAAGCTCGAAATCTGGAAAAGCTTCCCGAAACGCAGCATAATTTTCCCAGGTGGCTTCTGCTTCCAGTTTGCCAGCCCAATGTACCAAGAGCTCATGCTGGCCATTGTTGAGTCGAATCTTCAACACTGTCAAGGGACGAACAAGAAGTGGCTCAGTCTCTATTGGTGGTAGATCACCCATCTGTGATGGTGTCGGTCCTGAGTGAGGCTTCAAGAGAGAGACATGAAAAACATCATGAATGCGGGTACCCTGTGGCAAGACGAGGCGATAGGCAGCTGCCCCAATGGCTTCAGACACTTGAAAGGGGCCGAAAAACTTGGGTAATAGTTTGTGGTGACCGCGGCTAATAGTTAGTTGACGATAAGGATGAATACGCAACCAAACCCAATCCCCGGGAGAAAATGTGACTTCACGATGACCTTTATCGTATTGGAGTTTCATTCGCTGTTGAGCCTGGGATAAGCAGCTTTTGGCAGCGACTAGGATGGCATCACGGTCGAGCAGTTCACGGTCAATGCTGTCCAGTTTGGCAGAACCTGGTGTATAGGACAACTTCGGTGGGTCTCTGCCGTAGACGATCCTGAAGGGAGTATCACCGAGGGAGGAATGGTATGAAGTATTGTAGCAGTATTCAACCCATGGCAGCCAGCGAAGCCAATCTCGAGGTCGGTCCCCAGTTAGGCAGCGAAGATACATTTCGAGAGTGCGATTGACCACCTCTGTCTGGCCATCTGTTTGCGGATGATAAGCAGATGAGAATGCTAATTTAGTACCACTAAGGCGGAACAATTCTCTCCAAAATGTACTAACAAATACCTTGTCACGATCTGAGACTATGGATTCTGGCAAGCCATGAAGGCGAAATATTTCTGTGAAAAATATTGCAGCAACCGACACTGCAGTGAAAGGGTGACTGAGAGCAACAAAGTGAGCTGCTTTTGAAAGGCGATCTACAACCACCAAAACAACTGACTTACCACGCACTTTCGGTAAGCCTTCGATGAAGTCCATAGAGATGTCAACCCAGATATGAGTAGGAATTGGTAGTGGCTGCAGTAAGCCTGCTGGTTGCGTATTGAGCCATTTGTTTTTTTGACATACTTGACAATCTCGAATATAAACAGTCACATCATGTTTCATCCCCTTCCAGTAAAACTCACGACGGATGCGGTTTAGGGTTTTTTCAACTCCATGCGCCATACAATGAAATATGGAAATTAAGGTAGGAATGATGTCAAAAGAGGGCAACAAATATACTTTATAATGAAAAAACAGCAGGCCTTCACGATATTCCCATTCAGAACCAAGGTTACCGGATTCGAGTTGTTGGCGAAGCTCTAGGATCTCATAAGACCCTGCTTGAGCCCTTCGGATATCGTCCAATAAAGATGTATATGGAATGGAAAGGGCTGCAAGGACTAGGTTGTCTTCATGGCAGCGAGACAAAGCATCGGCTGCAATATTGAGCTTGCCTGGTTTGTATTCAACTTTGAAGTCATAACCCATAAGCTTGCTCAACCAATGTTGTTGAGGAGAGGTGGTGAGGCACTGTTCCAGAAGATGCTTAAGGCTGGAATGGTCTGTGCACACTAGGAACTCACGACCCCAGAGATATGGTCGCCAATGTGTGACAACCTTAGCTAATCCAATAAGTTCGCGCTCATAGGCTGCCAATTTAACGTGTCTATCAGCAATCTTACGACTGAAATACGCTATCGGGTGCCCTTCTTGTTGTAAAACTGCTCCAAATCCGCTCCCAGATGCATCACATTCTACAACAAAAGGCTTTTCAAAGTTAGGTAATTGAAGAACAGGGGCACTGGAGAGACACTGCTTGAGATGGTTAAAAGCTGATTCGGCTTCAGAATTCCAGTGAAAGGAGTTCTTCCGGAGGAGCTGAGTAAGCGGTGTGGTAATGGTTCCGTAATTCTTAATAAATTTGCGGTAGTATCCCGCAAGTCCGAAGAAACCGCGTAGAGCAGTTAGTGTCCCGGGTGTGGGCCAATCACAAATAGCCGTGACCTTGGTCTGATTCTGGGTGTCATGGACCGAGGGTGGAATGGTATGAAGTATTGTAGCAGTATTCAACCCATGGCAGCCAGCGAACCCAATCTCGAGGTCGGTCCCCAGTTAGGCAGCGAAGATACATTTCGAGAGTGCGATTGACCACCTCTGTCTGGCCATCTGTTTGCGGATGATAAGCAGATGAGAATGCTAATTTAGTACCACTAAGGCGGAACAATTCTCTCCAAAATGTACTAACAAATACCTTGTCACGATCTGAGACTATGGATTCTGGCAAGCCATGAAGGCGAAATATTTCTGTGAAAAATATTGCAGCAACCGACACTGCAGTGAAAGGGTGACTGAGAGCAACAAAGTGAGCTGCTTTTGAAAGGCGATCTACAACCACCAAAACAACTGACTTACCACGCACTTTCGGTAAGCCTTCGATGAAGTCCATAGAGATGTCAACCCAGATATGAGTAGGAATTGGTAGTGGCTGCAGTAAGCCTGCTGGTTGCGTATTGAGCCATTTGTTTTTTTGACATACTTGACAATCTCGAATATAAACAGTCACATCATGTTTCATCCCCTTCCAGTAAAACTCACGACGGATGCGGTTTAGGGTTTTTTCAACTCCATGCGCCATACAATGAAATATGGAAATTAAGGTAGGAATGATGTCAAAAGAGGGCAACAAATATACTTTATAATGAAAAAACAGCAGGCCTTCACGATATTCCCATTCAGAACCAAGGTTACCGGATTCGAGTTGTTGGCGAAGCTCTAGGATCTCATAAGACCCTGCTTGAGCCCTTCGGATATCGTCCAATAAAGATGTATATGGAATGGAAAGGGCTGCAAGGACTAGGTTGTCTTCATGGCAGCGAGACAAAGCATCGGCTGCAATATTGAGCTTGCCTGGTTTGTATTCAACTTTGAAGTCATAACCCATAAGCTTGCTCAACCAATGTTGTTGAGGAGAGGTGGTGAGGCACTGTTCCAGAAGATGCTTAAGGCTGGAATGGTCTGTGCACACTAGGAACTCACGACCCCAGAGATATGGTCGCCAATGTGTGACAACCTTAGCTAATCCAATAAGTTCGCGCTCATAGGCTGCCAATTTAACGTGTCTATCAGCAATCTTACGACTGAAATACGCTATCGGGTGCCCTTCTTGTTGTAAAACTGCTCCAAATCCGCTCCCAGATGCATCACATTCTACAACAAAAGGCTTTTCAAAGTTAGGTAATTGAAGAACAGGGGCACTGGAGAGACACTGCTTGAGATGGTTAAAAGCTGATTCGGCTTCAGAATTCCAGTGAAAGGAGTTCTTCCGGAGGAGCTGAGTAAGCGGTGTGGTAATGGTTCCGTAATTCTTAATAAATTTGCGGTAGTATCCCGCAAGTCCGAAGAAACCGCGTAGAGCAGTTAGTGTCCCGGGTGTGGGCCAATCACAAATAGCCGTGACCTTGGTCTGATTCTGGGTGTCATGGACCGAGGGTGGAATGGTATGAAGTATTGTAGCAGTATTCAACCCATGGCAGCCAGCGAACCCAATCTCGAGGTCGGTCCCCAGTTAGGCAGCGAAGATACATTTCGAGAGTGCGATTGACCACCTCTGTCTGGCCATCTGTTTGCGGATGATAAGCAGATGAGAATGCTAATTTAGTACCACTAAGGCGGAACAATTCTCTCCAAAATGTACTAACAAATACCTTGTCACGATCTGAGACTATGGATTCTGGCAAGCCATGAAGGCGAAATATTTCTGTGAAAAATATTGCAGCAACCGACACTGCAGTGAAAGGGTGACTGAGAGCAACAAAGTGAGCTGCTTTTGAAAGGCGATCTACAACCACCAAAACAACTGACTTACCACGCACTTTCGGTAAGCCTTCGATGAAGTCCATAGAGATGTCAACCCAGATATGAGTAGGAATTGGTAGTGGCTGCAGTAAGCCTGCTGGTTGCGTATTGAGCCATTTGTTTTTTTGACATACTTGACAATCTCGAATATAAACAGTCACATCATGTTTCATCCCCTTCCAGTAAAACTCACGACGGATGCGGTTTAGGGTTTTTTCAACTCCATGCGCCATACAATGAAATATGGAAATTAAGGTAGGAATGATGTCAAAAGAGGGCAACAAATATACTTTATAATGAAAAAACAGCAGGCCTTCACGATATTCCCATTCAGAACCAAGGTTACCGGATTCGAGTTGTTGGCGAAGCTCTAGGATCTCATAAGACCCTGCTTGAGCCCTTCGGATATCGTCCAATAAAGATGTATATGGAATGGAAAGGGCTGCAAGGACTAGGTTGTCTTCATGGCAGCGAGACAAAGCATCGGCTGCAATATTGAGCTTGCCTGGTTTGTATTCAACTTTGAAGTCATAACCCATAAGCTTGCTCAACCAATGTTGTTGAGGAGAGGTGGTGAGGCACTGTTCCAGAAGATGCTTAAGGCTGGAATGGTCTGTGCACACTAGGAACTCACGACCCCAGAGATATGGTCGCCAATGTGTGACAACCTTAGCTAATCCAATAAGTTCGCGCTCATAGGCTGCCAATTTAACGTGTCTATCAGCAATCTTACGACTGAAATACGCTATCGGGTGCCCTTCTTGTTGTAAAACTGCTCCAAATCCGCTCCCAGATGCATCACATTCTACAACAAAAGGCTTTTCAAAGTTAGGTAATTGAAGAACAGGGGCACTGGAGAGACACTGCTTGAGATGGTTAAAAGCTGATTCGGCTTCAGAATTCCAGTGAAAGGAGTTCTTCCGGAGGAGCTGAGTAAGCGGTGTGGTAATGGTTCCGTAATTCTTAATAAATTTGCGGTAGTATCCCGCAAGTCCGAAGAAACCGCGTAGAGCAGTTAGTGTCCCGGGTGTGGGCCAATCACAAATAGCCGTGACCTTGGTCTGATTCTGGGTGTCATGGGCCAATCACCCAGAATCTCGTCCCCTTCATCATCCAGGATTTCTAATGCAAAAAGCTGCTTGCAACGGTGACCACGAACGTATTGCTCATCGCAATGATAACACAGACCTTTGGCTTGACGACTGGCTGCCTCAGCTCTGGAAATCCGACGACGCCAAGGAGGAGTCTGCGGTGTGCGCTCGACATTCTGCCTTGGATCAGGAGGAATGAGACTGGATTGAGGTGCTGCAGCAACTGGAATCAGTCTTGGTGGAGGTCGGGAGACTGAAGGTAGTGACACAGTTTGTTGTTTGAGTTCAATTTGTCGAGCCAAGCTCATTGCAATGTCTAAGCTTCCTGGAGCTTGAAACTCCAAGTCCAAACGAATTTCCTTACGAAGTCCTGCCATGAATGCATTGACCTCAAATTGACTGGGTAGCCCTTCAACACGTGCCAATAGTTGCTGGAACAAGCTGATGTATTCTTCCACGGTTCCGGTTTGTTTGATTTGAAAAAGATCTCCAGATGGGTTGGAGCTTAATGGAGGGCCAAAACGAAGAAGACAATTCTCTGAAAACGTCTTCCAGGAGGTGCCTGCTTGGAGTTTATCAGCCCAAAGTTGAGCATCTCCCACCATGTGGAAGGTAGCCAAACCTACGCGAGCAATAGGTGCAGTTTGTTGGTGTGCGAAGAACCGCTCACAGCGTTTCAACCAACTGAGAGGGTCGCCTGTGCCGTCAAAGGATGGAAACTCGATTTTGGAATAACGGGGAACCATACTGGAATCACAACGGTCGCGATTCTGGGTGTCATGGAGCGAGCTTGAACTATTCTGGTGGCTGGTGTCATCGTGTGAGCTTGTAGATCTGCTGCTCAATGCTGTGAGTAGTGCAGAAAAATAATTCATCATATCGGTAATCTTTGCCTCGAGAGTCCCTTGTCTCTGGTTGATGTCTGCCATGAAGCTTTTGAAGGTTTCAACATTAAGAGTTTCGTTGCCCATCGTCCTGGATGCTGATACCAAATTGTTAAGGACCTTGGTACAAGACCTAGTCCAAGGCCGGTGAGGATTGAGAGAGGAATGCGAAGCTATGGTGTCTGGAATAAAAAACCCTAACTTCCTGCCCTGGGCAAGGAAGGTGATCACTGGTTCCACCAAAAGATCAAAAGATTAAATATTCCAAAAGCCAATAATTTATTCCAGGAATAAGCCTTATATAGGCAAAAGATAGTTTCCTAAAACAGAAATAGGAAACAGCCTTTAACTACTGTAATAAAGGAATAAGAAGTTGACTAAAATCTGGAAAGCTAATTAATAGGAAACAACTGAAATAAAGAAAGCTAATTAAATAGATCTGCCACAATGATTTCTAGATTAATTAATTAGTCTCCTTTCTGCGACGTTGATATACACGGCCAAAACGGCCTGTATCAGTAACATCTTCCACAAATGCAAGGTAAAGTCTGCCTATATCACACCCTTATGGTGGGACAAGCCTCGCTGTACGGAGACGCATGTACACCTGGCTGCCCACTTTACTTTCTGCCATTTTAGATGATTATAAGTTAAAGCGCTTATAAGTTGATTGAGTTAATAGTACATATATCTAATGTCAATTTTATAAGCGCCTTGAATCAGCAGTACGCGACTACGCGTACACACTATGTCATAACTCACAAGGCATTGATTACTTAGAGGAATAGGTTCCACTCAACTGTCTAGCTAGAAACTTGTTCATGATATAAGCTGATAAAATGTTGAAATAAGATGTACTGACATGCACATTCCAATGAATGAAATATATGCTAGCAGATGAAAATAGATTCTAAATGCCTCTTACAACTCTGATCATTTGGTTGTTCAGAAATTCAGCCAACACTGAAAAATCTTTACAAACAAGCCCAAACTTCATGCCATAATCAAATATCATAGAAAAGGCTCTTGCAAAAGAGATATATTGAAGATGTGACACAGTTGTCCAACGGTGGATAATTAATATTTCCTCTGTCCCTCTAAGATTGGGACATAAGGGAGTTGTGTGTTTGTAGGGTTGAATCTTATAAGTCAACCTGATAGGAGATATAGCCCAAAATCTTAATATAGCATTTTATTCATTCATATTTTACCAGTGTGGGAAATAGTATTTTTGTGTCTATCTCTCTCATGCCACATATATGCATCATGCACGTTGTTGCATTGGGGATGCTCTAATCTTGTTGGGGAATACCTTCGGATATTTCATGTTCCTTTCTTTCTAGTTCTGCATGTTTGTTTCTTCATTTTAATTTCAGTTTTATAAAACATCTCTCTAAATTATTTATCAGCTTGTCTCTTTACTCTCTAACAGTTGAAACTGCTGTTAACCACCTCCACTATGGCAACCACAGAAACTGCAGCCACTGCCATTTTCAAATTAAATGGAGAAAAGAATTCAACGCCCCCTGGGTAATCTGTTTTCCCTACATTCAGTGGGAGGCCTTCTCTGCTTAAAAAAGATATAAATGCCATCAGGAACTTTAGATTGTGTTACCATCTATTCCTTTCTAATCTTTTAGGCACTGCTCTAAAAAACACTCCGGATCCTAGCTCTGCTTAAGAGCCTGCTTAGGCGTTAGGACTCTCTTGACCACCTCGTCTTTTTTCAGCCTATGCCCTGACTAAGACACAACTAAGCTCGCAAAGGCGGTGGGCACCAGTCTACTACCTAGAGGGAGCCTATAGCTTTTTGGAACACCCTATAAATGATTGTTCCATAAGACTCTTATCACTCAATCAACATACTCAAGGTTTGAAATATCTTGCCAACCTTGAATTGTTATTTGAAGAAAAAGCTATATCTGATAAACCTTTCCGGGTCGTGTAACCATTGATGTTGATTGTAGGCCTCTTTTTAAGTACCTGCACAGACCATAAAAACATTAGTAACACTACCAAAAAATTATCAAGTTACTGGAATTTCATGTAAACTTAAACAAAACAGCCTAGATCTTAGTGGAAGTGTAAATTTGAAGTTCTATACTACAGAATAAAGTATTAAATTATGCTGAAGAAATACACCATTTAAATATGTGAGTCTAATATTTACGTGTTATATATGTCATAACCAAAGTTTATCTTAGTTTTGTTTTAATGGCACTATGAAGTAACATAACTTCCCATACCAAGACCAAAGCATAGACCTGCTACTCCCTTCAGAGAAAAGTATGGTGCAGTCGTGCAGAGGGAGAAATAGTTGGACTATATATTTCATAATCAGAAGAAAGGGCTTAGTACTTCTGAACTATAATAGTTTAGATGAGATGTCATAAAATAAGAAGAATACATGTAACTTACATCCATTGGTTCAGAAGATATGTACCCAATGTCATATATATGTACTTCAGAACTCTTTAGAGATGTACAGGCAACCTGAATTTAGGGAATTATATGTCATCATTATAAAAATCATCATCAATTTCAAGGGTAATAATTGACATTTTAGATTTGCAGCTGAAACACTCATGACTTACTTTAGAAAAAAAAAAATATCTAATATCAGATCATTTCTTTGAGCAGCATAAAAATAATTTACAGACATTGGACTGTTGCATCAATGGTACAGATTAATCAAGCTAAGATGTTCAAAAACTTTATTATAAAGCTATAGTAGGAAACCAGAAGCTTTAAAAAGCATGAAGTATGCGTTCAAAGAAGCCAAACCTCATTTTGATTGCATATATTCCATCTAACTACATCAAGTTGATTAAGTGTAGATATGTGGAGCAACAGTTTTCCTTCATCTTCTTTAAAACCTAAAGGAAATACTTTCCCTGGTCCAGTAGATAAGAGAATCAATAATCAGCATGAAGAGTGACAGAGTCGCATTGGCATGAAGTTCAAAGTTTATATTAAATAACATGTGAGAACATCAGCCCAAAAATGGTAAGGAGTGTGAGCATGAAGTAGAAGAGTTCACGTTGTAACAGCTAAGTGTTGATTCTTCCGATCTGTTACGGTGTTACCCCATTCTATTGAGGTATAAAGAGAGACATGTGGGAGTTGAGGTATCGACATGAACTATAATAGAACAATTAGGTGCCATCGGTGCAATGATAGAGAATTGCAGATCAAAATAAAATACAATTCTGACTACTGGAGTTGTTGGAGTTCATGCTGGTTAACAATGGTCCATGATACATGCCAATCACTAATCAGAACCAATCAGCTAGATTAGCTCATTCATTTCCTATTTTTATAAATCCCAGAACTAATACTAAATTGGACTCCTTGATATGTACCAAATTACCATGGCTGGGCACCAGAAAAAAGTTTCACCCTTAACAGTTTTTTAAATAAGGAATGACTGGAAAATTGAAGGAAAGTAGAGGAAATAGGCAAATGAAATATTAATGCGGACCTTAGAATTTTGTGAAACTTATATGACAATTCTCTTACCTTCGTAAAATAGATCTTCAAAATCGTGCACCGTTAAGCAACCTGATTTTGTTACTGATGCCAGATAAACCCCCTGCAGACAATAGTTATTAAGTCTTTGAACAAAGGATCTAGACTTCAAAGCAAAATCAGATCCCTAGAAATATGAGCCAAACTTGTGATCATATAACCTCATACATAGCCAACATCAACCAATGCAGAAGAAAAAAAAAACAGAAATGCATGTGTGCTTAGCCACTTGCTATGATCACTTTGAAAAGAAAAAAGAAGACAGAAGAATTTCTATTTTTTATCCCATCATAAATATAAAATTAAATATAATAGATATGTCATTATGTGTGTGTGTGCATATATATTTATATACATAACCTATATATATATATATATATATATATAACATACTACACATATGATATATGCTTATAAAACATTGATCAAGTCATCAAACCATAGTCTAGATTCACATAAATCAATGATTACCTTTCGATCAAATTCTAATGCAGATATGCCCTCACTGTCACAAAAAATAAAATTAAAAAATGTAAATAGATAGTGAAGGGGAAGCAAAAAAAAACAGGACAGACAGGATGCATCTCATATAAGCAATTTAAAACAGATGTTAAATCAGTTATATTTTTTAATGGAGCATTGATGTGTGACACAAGATGTAGCCATGTGGGGCATGCAGAAAACAGAATACATGTACATGATTATGAAAACTTGTATAAAGCATAATAAATAACTATGGCAAATCTGTGTAAAGAACATTAGAAAATTAACAAATTCGGAGACCTGATGCAATAACGGTAAAGTGGCAGGATCAAGTTGTACAAGAAGAGCAATGGGAAATTTTAAAAGAGCGACTGTTGGAAAGAGCAATAATCAATAATAGGATGAAGTTCCCTGAAGAATAATGAGACCTTATTCGATGCCATGTCTCCTAGATGAAGACCTTTGTTTAAACTTTAAAGTCTATTTACTGTAGCTAAAGTAAGAATCATAAGTATGCAATTGACTGTCCGTATTTTTCTACTCCATTCATTGAACTATGCTCGACAGCTTGGGTACTTGATTGGTTTTTATTCTCATCTTGATTTCTTTCTTCTTGTTGGAGTAAAAATCAAGCAGTTTGGGTCTGTATCAGGCTATCAGCCAACACGTGAAGCATCAAGGCAGACACATGCAGAACCCAGAAAAAAGACTTCAAATCTCCAGAAAAGGAGTAATTTAATAAAAACAAAGGGTGCACCGTTTGAAAGATTCAGTACCAAAAGACAGGGGCTAAGTGCCTAAGTGCAAAAAAATGATGACTTTTCTCAAAAGAAAAGGGGATAAGATAAAAAAATCATGTTGAGTAAGTGTTGCTTTTAGTTCCTAATAAATGCAGAGCCTAGCAATCAAGTACAATTTAAAAGTCAGAAGAAAAAACATAACTTGCACCGTTGCACGATGAGATCGAATAATCAATTTTGAATCCTGCTGTTATATTTATGTAGCCAATACAGGTTATGTGTCATTACTTTTAGACTTTACAAATCATGAATCCATATTAAACCCAGAGGGGAACACACTTCAGATATGTACACCAAAAAATAGAAAGGTGGAAATTAAAAACAGCAAAATACCTGCCAATTAGATTGTGGTTATAGGTACCACCTTGAAACCAGCTCATCTGTTGTATATTAAATAAAGAACAAATTTAAAAGAGCATTTTATGAAAGCAACTTCTCAATTGTACAGCTACTACTATCTTGCACTCGTGCCTAGAGTGCTAGATAAAAAATTCCAAATTAATTTCAAAGAGTGATCCCATCTTTCTACATCCTAATCTGAAATCCATGTCTAGCAGCATAGCAATACACAAAGCTAGACCAACCAAACCAACAGCTAAAGGAGCAATGCAGAGTAAAAAAGTAAAGTGTACATGTGTTGGACATGGCACTTCATTGTTGTGATATGTGTGAGGGAATCCCGCCACCTTTAAACAAGAAAAATGGTGAACGGTCAGTAATTAAAATAAATTAAATTTTCAATTAATTCCAATAACTGACCATAGAATAGGATTGCGCAATTAGAGCCGAAGCAAGGTGGAGGTATTTCCTATTGGTTCTTCCATTCAATTCAAACATAACTTTCTGCCATGGCTGCCTAATTTGCACATTAAAGAAAAAGAAGCTCGCTTTGAGTAATGATAAGATGAGATAACTAAATTGTCTTTCTTGCATTAAAAAAAAAAATAAAAGCACCTTCGAGGCGCTTTAGGGTTTTGCTGAGCAGGAGCTACTGGGACCAAATATTTCTCCATGAAGACGTGCACTGACGGGGAAGAGGAGTAGAAAACGGAATACCACAAAATCTGAGCTCACATATTGTGGGAGGCTTTTCCCGCCATCAGAAGTCCAATCAGCAAAGCGCGCCCGATCTTTTTGACAGATATGTCTTGTTTGGCAATTAGGGATTAGTTCATTAGCCCGATTTATGTTTATGGTTGGGAAAATTGTCAAATAGGTCCTCGAACTTTAATGAAAAGGTCAATCAAGTCCTTCTATATGAGGTTTTGCCCGGCCGTCGCGATTTGGGGCAGTTCCCGGTAGATTTTTTTGGTGAAATTTTTTGAGCATCTTATTCACCAAGTCTAGTTTACTCATACCAAATTTAAGCTAAAAATTGAATCGCGAACACATTCAAATTAATTCTTGAAGATAATTGCGCATTTTTGCGTTCTCGAATTAATTTGAATGCATTCTCGATTAAATTTTTAGCTGAAATTTGGTATGAGTAAACTAGATTTGATGAATAAGATGTTCACAATATTTCATCAAAAAATTCTACCGGGCCCCAAATCACGAAGATCGGACAAAGTCTTCTATAGAAAGACTTAATTAACTTTTTTATGAAAGTTCGAGCACCTATTTCACAGTTTTCTCTTTATTGTATTTTTTCTAATATTTGTATCACAATTAATAAAAGGTGAGGTTTTTCTCGTTTCGTTTGGTTATTATTATATTTTTTCTTAATTAATTATTTTTCAATTTAAGTATTTTTAGGTTCAAATTAATTGTGTTGTCTTCTTTCTTGTTTTGTGGATGAATGGAACTTTTAAGAGACATCTTTCTTCTAGAGTCGTCTAGATGAGAGTTTTTTCCCAGAATAATGCTAATTAAATAAATAAATTCCAAAATATTGTCGGGTTAAGAATAATTCCCAAAAGTACTGCTGAGGTTAACCACGGTTAAGAAAGTCGTCACTCCAAATGGCCGCTCTTATGTATACATGTTGCTTCACAGTTAGTAATCCTGCTACTGCACAAGTAAACCGGCTACTGCACAACTTTACAAACCTGTCATTGTTAATAACGCAGTTAATAACACAAGTTAACTTAGCTACTGCACAGTTACCAACAAAATCTGCTCATCATAGTCCATTCTCTTCAAACAAACAACCAAACATATGATTTTTTAAAACAAAATACATATGAAACACAAAACGAACCAGTGAAACTACATTGCATCACAAAACGTGAAATAAGACATAAAAGTTATAATAAATCTGGTGTTTCACAAAATGATTCGGTCTGTCAGTGCATGTTAAAACTTCACACAATAATATAAATACAAAGATCATAAGTCAACGTGATCATCATCATCATGAAGGTCACGTGGTTGTGGCTGTGCTCGGGGGCGCTTGCGCTGGTTACGAGGCTGAAGAACAACTCCATCATGTCAGACTGCCTGAGAATACCTTGCTGAGGATGTAGATGCGGTGGAATGTTAAGAGGTGGCCATATATCCATAATCCACTTGGCCCAATACATCAGCGCACAGTGCAACAATGCACAAACAAACATCATGGTATCCATGTACATCTGTCGCGTCATCAAGTACAGCAGTCGCTCTGTCATGGATGCTACGCAAAGCTCGTGTCTATAATGCAAACATGGTTATTAGTGAAAAACACATGAATCAATAAATAAAGCTATCTTGTTGACTATATTATTTACCGTCATATGAAGAACGACTGAGCTGGGCTGGTAATGATTAGTGGGTAAACGAAAACTGGGAGAGATGAACACCCATGTGATGGTGTAATACCATCTCATGTACCCTACAGAAGCTGTGGGGACTAATGATGGGGTCCCGTCCACTATATACGACGCTCTCTCATTCCACACAGTGATATACTGAATATGGCGCATCCCCCAATCTTCAGCGTGCTTCCCCCATCTATCAATCTTGTGCAAGTCCACAGATGTATCACAAGGTCCGGGAGTAACCTGCTGCAACCTGAACTGTCATAGTACGCGATCGGGAAAGTGATGCTCCACTACATCAAAACATATCAGGGGCACACGTGCTCGCCATATCTCAGTGTGCTCTTGGGCAACAGGAGGCAACAGTCCTAGAATCTCATCAGTGTACGGCATCCACATCATTTATAATATAAAATAATGTCACACCATGGTTTATAAAATCGTAAAACAAAGTACTTACATTTAATGATATAAATGATATACCTGATCATCACACATGTGATCTAAAGCATCTCAATAGTATCCTAATCCAGCAGCGGATGACGTGCGCGTGACATGAGCAAATAGCCATCTGACACACAGTAATGTACGAGAATATAAAAGGGATTCATGTACGTATATGAGGACCAGCATAACAGACAACTTTGAACGTCTCTAGCTTCTCATGTTTCTTAGTAGCCTGGATCCACCAAGTGCAGCCACATTCTTTTTCCCTCTTACACTCTGCCATCCATTTGTGCTTGTCAAACTCTACAACCGAGAAAAATTGGTTCCTCTTTGCAGAGTACACTCTAACCATGTTGATCCGTTGTTTCTTATGATCAAACTCTTGTCCAACCTCGAATTCACCATCTGCAAAGAAGCGACTAGAAGTTGAACAACCCTTCCATGACTCATCAAATCCCGCAGGGAGCTCATAGACTTTAGTGTAGTGGTTGGATGTAGCATTGCCACTTACGAGATCACCACCATCTTCATCTGAATCTGTTAGTGTGTCATGGTTCACATTTTCATCTGCATCGTCGCCAGTGCACTGTGAATTCAGAAATGTTGGATCACTATTCACGTATCTTCCATTCTCCTGTGTAACCATATTCATCACAACTGGAACACTTGTGGATGGGCAAGACAATGACAGGTTGCCAGGTTATATGGGCAACACGCCACTTCTTCAACATATATCTCCATGGTATGCGTATCAAGATTCTCGAATACAGTCCACATTCCTGTAACGGCTTCGTCGTCAGCAAGAGGCATCAACATGTATGATCCACCATGCATGGGATATTTAACTTTCAAATCCAACTTGTTCATACGATTGATGGATGTGGCAGTATAAATTTTATTCGTTATTTCAGCCAAATCCACCCCACAGGAAAACAACAGTTATCTTCCGAATTCCCCCTTCATATATAATGAATTCCGTTTGACTCCTCGATAATATTTCTTCCCCATTTATAAACAGGGGAGAAGTTCTCGCTCCCCGAATTATTTGGTTCATGTCTCAGTTCACAAATTTTGATCAGCCAAATTTTATTTAAACAGTCTAGCCGATTCAGAGATATTGCGATTTCTTTAGAAAAAAACAGATCAAGCTCCTACGTGAGAATTGCAAAATACAAGGGGAGCTCCATTATGATTCCCATGGGACCTCAAAAATCTAGTATGCTGCAATTCATCAAAATTTTCTCTAATTTTGTAGGTATACAAAAAACTGTGCAGGATGACTCCATCTTTCAATTTAGGAGCACAATATAATCAGAGGACCCTACATCTATCTCCAAACTGGTCTTAAATTATCAGATTCAGGGTGAGTCCACCAACAATCAAAATGCCTTATCTTCAGAGAAACAGCCTCAACTGCCAATGATTCAGGCTTATTCAGATGCCTCTGACAGTTTTGATTATTCAGATGTCTCTTTCTACAAAGATAACTTTATAGGACATGCAACCGAAAGCGATCGTCCTCCTCCTATTTCATACCCTGAAGAAATTGGGAAATCCAAATTCAACAGTGCAATTTGCTGCAAAGAAAATGTTGTGACTTCTGAAAATTGTCTGCCAACAGACAATCTAAACACGCAACTGAAGATCTACAGGAAGTCTAAAAAAAAGGCGCCACAATATGAGGACTAGGTCACAGTCCAGAGATTTTCCTTGGGAGTAGCTTTTATTTTTATTTCTTTTCTTTTTTATGTACTTTTTTTGTACTTCCTTTCTCGCTTTGTATGTTTTCCTTTATTCAATAAAATTCACTTTTCACAAAAAAAAAATGGAGAAATTTCTAGACATATTCTACGAAAAAAACATTCTAAAAAAGTATGACGTATGCCGCTATTTGAAAATTCAACTACAATGACTATAATTCAAACGAAATGTATTAGATCGTAGATACATATTACGATTTCATACCATTAAATTGGGACTAATATTACTTAATCGGTGACAAAAAACAGAGCAATGGAAAAAGCAACAAATTAACATATGATTAATTAAACAAGTAAAAAACAACAATTTCAAACAAATCAACATCAACTTTGAGCAATAACTAAAAAAAACTAGCTTTAGCAAAAATGGTGAAAGTTGGTATAATTCAAAATTTACAAATTATATAAATTCAATCATAATAACAAGATTAAGAACTTATATATTTCACAACATCAAATAGAAAGAAAATAATTGAAAGAAACACTAATTTCGAACAACAAATTAAAAAAACCTAGGCTTAACAAAAATGGTGAAATACATCGATTCAAACGGTAGAAAGTCACTAGAATGGAGTACAAATGACCTCGGGTACACCACAACTCTTTTCCCTTTGATTTGAGCTTCGTTTGGACGAGTTCTGACTGGAATCGGGGCACTGTCATTCTGTTGCAGAGGAGGGGTAGCTTCGTTCGTCGGCTGTGAAGAAAGAGGGATATATTCTGAGAATTAATGAGCCCCCCCTCCGAGTGGCGGCTTTTGTGAAGATAGATGAAGAACCTCCACTTGAAGTGGCGGCTTTCCTTAACCCTGGTTAACCCAGCAGTATTTTGGGAATTATTCTTAACCCAGCAATATTTTGGGAATTATTTATTCAATTAGCATTATTCCGGGAAAAATTTTCTAGGTGATGCAATTTATTTTCCTTTTAAAATAATAATGTTTGTATTAAAATATCAATGACTCGTTTAATAAAACGGTTATTCGTAGTTATAACTATTACTCGTTGGGGTGGTTTTGATTTGGATATAAATTATTTGGTTAGTAATGGGGCAGTTACGTGGCAGGTACGATTATATGTGTAACTCTCCTCGATCCTTCCCGTTGCTGTCTCTAAATGCTGGTTTCAACATTTGCCGTAGAAAGAGAGTTTAGCTAAACCAGCTACACTTTGACCGAATATAGAATGAGGTTGAGCGCTTCATCTCTTGAGAGTTGAGACGCCCATTTACTTCCATAGTTCCATGATTGATTGAAGGTCAACCGACATCCGTAGAACACTAGAAGTGAACATAACACCATACCATCATTTCATGGAAGAAACGACAACCGACATCGAATGCGGCTCAAACAATTAGTTCATGTATTTAAATTTTAAAGTTAGAAGTTAGAACTATTCTTAATTGCAATTTGTAAATGTGTTAATAGTACTTCAAGTCAAATTGACTCAAATGTAGTGTTCTAATAAATATATACATTCGCTTTTCAATGTGTAAATTCATTTTTTTTATAAATAAACCGAGACAGGACCAAAACCTGGTACCTTACTCATTCGGGTCAGTTTCGGTCTCATATTTGGGGAATCGGGACTGGAACCGGGACCAGACCAGGCCCACCCCGACCACCTCAGAGCATAAATCTCATCAACACACTCCTGATCGTGATATCCCTTAAGTGTTATACACCAGGTAAAAAACAATCCAAATAACCAAATGACCTCTGCCAGCTCTGCACCACAGATGAAATTCTATGACTAGTTGATCTGTTGACGAACATACAAAGTACAGGGATAGCTGTATTAGATTTAGAAACTTTTGGACACCAGGACTATGGGATGCTAGGATTACTAATAACTCGAGACATCAAAAGCTTAAGCTAGTATACTTCGTAAAAAATATTACCAGCAGAACAAAAAGTAGCAGTCTGAAATTTCAGAAATATCAGTCATAATACACATCAATCTGTAATGCACTTGACCATTACAAAAAAACCAACAAAATTGAAAAAACTAAATTGTTGCATTAGAGCCTCCATGATATAACAAACAAAATAAAACAACATACTAAGTATGATATTCCAAGACTAATTTAAAACAGAGATGTTCCCTTCCCCTTCTTGTCACCACCGATCTCAAAATGCTTGCACCTCTGCAAAACAGTCAACGATTGATCTCATTTTCTGGAAAAAAAACATTAATAATAATAGGATAAACACGAAAAGTAGAAAACAACCAACCTTGATTGCGTGCTGAGAGACATGCTTGCATCCCTGACATTGCAGCCTCAAGACAATCTTCTTTGTGGTCTTGGCCTATTTTTGTGTGCAAAATGAACAAAAATACATAATGTTAAATGTCAAATGTCAATTGCTATTAAATTCCAGATTGAATTCAAACATCACAACAAAGAAATATCTTCATTGAAGAAATTCCAAATTGAATTTACACATCACAAGTTCACAACAAAGAAATATCTCCAGAAAATAAATACAAATCAACTGAAACAGATTATATACAACCATCGCCGGATTTGTTGAAAAAAATAAACTGAAAGTATAAGCTTATGACCTTTTTGTGGAAGACTGGTTTGGTCTGTCCACCATAACCAGATTGTTTACGATCATAACGACGCTTCCCCTGAGCCGCAAGACTATCCTTTCCTTTTTTGTACTGAGTAACCTTATGCAAAGTGTGCTTCTTGCATTCCTTGGACTTGCAAAATGTCTTTTTGGTCTTTGGAACGTTCACCTTCAAGAGAAGTAAAACAACTTTTAGTAATTAAGCTTTGATAACATCATCGCCTCAATCCCAATTCCCAAGTACTAATGAATAGATAGAGATAAAAATTACAGTTTAGTGTTAGTTAGTGATCTAAATGAGTAAACTCTAAAACAACGAACCAAAAAAGTACCAAAGTTTACTTGAGGGATACTGGGATAATGATATGAAAGTTTAAAGATGTCAATCATCATAAATGATCTCTACTAGCAAGTAAATATCCTGATATGGTGAGGAGCTGTGACATCATAGTTAGTCGTTTTCCAAAACAACATTATGTAATATATCAATATGCAAATTGTGGAACATCACCCGCAAGTGAACAGACTAGCCAGTTAATTCATAACTATAATCAACTTGAAAGCTTGGAAATATCCCTTGCACATATTTCATGAATACCCACCCAACTCGAAAGAAATAAGAACTTGAAGTTCTACCATGCATTTGAAATATGGTAACTTGAATTCGTTTAGAACAAAATAAATATGTTTTGATTGTACTGTTTTATAAGTTTTTTACTTTTGTACTCCCTATGCACTTAAACTTGTCCAATTCCAAAGCTTATAGTACAATCTTATATGCACTTCAATATATTGAATCCAGCGCAAGAAATACCAGTCAATGAATGAAATCGAAAATGTAGAAACTATATAAAAGAGCATAAGAAGTAGATTCCCCGTCCAGAAATAAACAATCGAACCATGACATCGAGACCATACACAAATAAAAGTCAAAACGTTTTGACCAGAAGACCGACGAATTGAGCAGAACAGTATACACAATTACACCTTCATTAAAATCTAAGATATGATGAACGATTTTACCATGGCGGCAGGAGCTCGAGCCGAGAGCTTGGTGTTGGTAGCTAAACGCCGCACTGCACCGATTGGGTGGTTGGGAGTGGGACTTATGGGAGAGTGGGCGAGTGGGCGAGCCCAAGCCTAATTAGTAAGTCATATGGGCCATTTGGAACATGGTAACCTTTATTGAGCCCAGTAAGGTTAACCCCCAATAGTCAATACACGATTTATAAAACACTAATTAGATTATTATAGGGCATCTTTTCGTTTTTATTTTTTTCCCTGAATAATTATGAAATAAAAAATACATATTTCGATGTAAAAATAAATAAATGTCATTAACTTTTTTAACATTTTTTGTTAACAAAAAATGAACTTAGTTCAAGTAAAGTTCGATTATAAAATATTCAGTTATTTGTGAAGACTCTATGAATTAAAAATTTGTGTTTCATGACTTCATCTTTGTTTAGACTAAAAAAACTTCAACAGTTAAAACCTAAAAGTGTTGTTTCGTTATATATAACATATTGGTGTTACATGAAAGATCATAAATTTTTATGAATTTTGATATATTTTTCGAAATATTGAAGAACAAATAAAAAAGTTTATACAATGTTTAAAAATTGGGATATTATCTATCTACCTATCTTATAAGCATGAATATTGTTAGGGGTATAATAGTAATGGAAAAAATGTTCGTGTCTATCCGTGTATTAGTTGATTGTACTCTACGCATAATTACTCCAAGCTTCTACTAGATATATGGCAAATCTGGGGCCACGGAGGTCAGCTTTGCCGTTAAGCCCGACTATGTATTCTGCCAATTCACACTGTTGGGACTAATAAATACTACGTACTACGGAGTATTAGACCTTCCTTTGTGTTCGCCACTCGACTATGCCTCTTCTTTTCCGTTCACAGCGCCCTGTGCCGAACCATGGATATCAACATTCATCTACCGCTCGCCTATCAACATTTAGCACTTGGTGTTCAACCAATTTTGGATTTCTTCATGTAAGTTCTCTATTCTCCTCTAATTCATTATATGTTCCGCTGATATTCAATTGCAGTTCATTACTAAATTTCCATCGTTTATTCCTTTTAGCATCGTGTTGCTTCTTCTATCTCTGCATCCCCCCGATTTGGATTCCTATGTGCTTTGGCATTCCTTCTTCTGTTTTTTTGACATCATACCGCTTATGTCATGTGTTCATCTCTTTGTATCAGAGAAAACACTGATTTTGTAACACCCTCTACCCGGCCCGGAAGGCTCGGGCAAGGGAGCGCTACCCGCAGTGCCAAAGCACCAAAGCGCAAACTAACTTTTCATTATCTTTTTGACTATTCTAGAAATACTTATATTTTTTTTTAAAGATTGCTAATGATAGTAACTGTAAGGAAATATTAATTTCATAAACATTCATAATTGTGGAAGCATCCATATTTTATACATAACACTAAAAAAGTTAAGTGTTTGCTATTACATTCTACTGGAATGCTGACTACATATGACTATATGAGTGATGCAGATTAGAAATAAAATATCACTAAATGCAAGTGTGACTCTGAGCTTATTGGCAGGTTGCTCCCAAATGCTTTTCTCCTTGAACATTGGCTCGTATCAGCTATGTACCTACGCGAAGGACAAAATCAACGCGCTAAGCAAATCTTGCTTAGTGGTGTTCATTCTTTCTCCATAATCTCAATATAAAATATCACATAATAAATCAACAAAAAAATGACATTTCAAATGTAAATCATACATATGGAAATGTATACTTAGACAGAATTAGGGCTGAGCAAGAACCGACCCGACCCGACAAAACCGAATTTTTTTCGGATATTATCCGATTGGGTACGGATATCCGACCCGCCAAACCGAACCCGAAATTTGGGCCAGCCTTTGGGCGGTTAAAGGGCTGCGGGTAGGGTTTATAAAACCCAGACCCGATCCGCCCGAAAACCCGAAACCCCAAAACGACGTCGTTTTGTATTTTATATATATACACACTTATACTTCTGACTTCGGCCAAACCCTATCCGCCTCTTTCTTCGATCTGTCTTCTACTCTTCGCTCTATCCTCTCTCTTCTCATCCTCTATGACTGTGGCTCTGTGAGTTCTGCCTTCAGTTCTCTAGACCTTACTCAGTTACTCTCCTTTGTCCTCTCTCAGCCTCTCGTACTTTGATTTACTTTGGTATTTTGGTGGAAGCTCTGAGTGTGTCCCGTGTCCGCACACAGAAAGACTGAAACCCTAATCGCCTAATCGGTGCAAATCGTTCTTCGCTCGTTCGAAACCTATTTGGTGGAAGTTCTTAACCTTACTCCCTAAGTCCTAATTCTAGTCTCTGAGGTATTTATATCTACGGTTTTGTTGTGAATTTGTTATGTATTTATGTGTTGATAAATTGATAGTATGAGTGTATGATGATGTTGATAATGTAATTCATGCTTAATACCCTTATACATTTGACGAGTGATAATGAATCTATGATGATGTTGATGTTGATGTGTTAATGCTGAATAATATATGAATGTATGCTCAGTTTCTCCTCACTGACTAAGTGTTAAAAAATGATTTTCTGAGTACTAAACTATGCATATTTGAAATGTGAACTCTGACTCTGTGAGAGTCTGAGTATTAAGAATTCTTAAACCTGTATGCCTAATGTTTGAATGATGATGGAGCCTGAGTTTTCATTTGAATTATTAAAGTTGTATAATTGTATGCCAATATCATTTATTATTATGCGTATGTGAATGATGATGGACTGAGGGTTGTCTTAAATTCTGAAACCTGTATGCCTAATGTTTGATTATGCATATCACTATATCAACATATGTGATAATGTGAATGATGATGTAATGAGGCTTGTTCTTAATTCTTAAAACTGTTTGCCTAAGGTATGAGTATGCATATGTGAATGATGATGAATGATGGAGCCTGAGGGTTGTTCTGAATTCTATAAGTTGTATGCCTAATGTTTGATTGTGCATATCAGCATATGTGAATGATGATGAACTGAGGCTTGTTCTGAATTTTTAAAATTGTTTGCCTAATGTATGATTAATTCATTATGCATATGTGAATGATGATGAATGATGGAGCCTGAGGGTTGTTCTGAATTCTTAAAGCTGTATGCCTAATGTCCGATTAGGCATATGTGAATGATGATGGACTGAGGGTTGTTCTGAATTCTTAAAGCTGTATGCCTAATGTTTGATTATGCATATGTGAATGATGATGAATGATGGCTTGTTCTGAATTCTTAAAGTTGTATACTTGCATGCCTAATATTTGATTATGCATATGTCAATACTGATGGAGCCTCAATGCCTTATGTTGCAATATGCATATGAGAAAGGTATATGAGCTATGTTTATATGTGCATACATGAATGATGATGGAGGCATGGAGCCTCAGGCTTAGCCCTGTTGTGTATTCTGAAAGGTAAAGTGTGGAAGGTAAACAGTTGAAGCCTCTATTATTTCTTGCATATAAAAGAAGCTACCTTTGTGACTCTTACACTCAAAGGAGTAGTAAGAGTCTATTGGTTCTTCTAAGTCTGTAGGGAAGAATTAAGCCTACTGCTTAACTTCTTCTGTAAATCAGCAAGCTGATTGTTCCAGACTATATGTTTATGAACTTAAAGAATAAAATTTGACTCTCATCCATCTGTGTTGAAAAAATTGTGAAAGCTTAAGGGTGGAAGCCTAATCTACCTGACTACCTATGTGTGTGCTTAATTACTTATTTACTTATATAGATGGATGGTCAAGATTGTGTTTCCATGCATGTATCTGGTGAACCTCCTCTAAGCCAAGAACCTGCAGTGGAAGCTCCCATTGTAGACAATGCTGATACTACTCAACAGACTGATATACCTGTTGGTTCTGGCCAAAAGAGGAAACAGGTTGAATCCAGGTCCAAGATATGGGAACACTTTGTAAAGATTTTTGATGAAAAAGGAGTTCTTGTTAAAGGGAAATGCATATATTGTGCAAGAGTATATTGTTGTCATTCAAAAAAACATGGCACCTCATCTATAAGAAACCACATCCTTAGTTGTCTGAAGAACACTCATTCTAAGGACACTAGGCAAGCCCTTTTAACCTACCAACCAATCACTGCTGCTATTCCTACTGAAGAACCTACTGGGGTTTTAGGAACCTGGGTGTTTGACCAAACTGCAATTAGAAGAGCTCTGGCAGAAATGCATATAATTGATGAGCTTCCTTTTAGGTTTGTTGACAGGCAGGGTTTTAGAAAGTTTATGTCCATAGCTTGCCCTAGATTTAAAATCCCTTCTAGGTAGAAAGTTTACCAAATCTACTTAGTTGAGAAGCTTAATTTGAAAAGGCTATTTAGGGAGACAACACAAAGGGTAAGTATTATTACTGACACATGGACCTCTGTACAGAGGATCAACTACATGTGTATTACTGCTCATTACATAGACCATCAGTGGAAGCTTCAAAAAAAGATCATTTCCTTTGTCCAAGTTACTTCTCACAAAGGGGAGTACATTGCTAAGGCTCTTGAGAACTGCCTTTTAGAGTGGGGGCTGAAAAATATATTTACAGTTACTGTGGATAATGCAAGCAGTAATGATACAGCTGTAGGCTTCTTCAAGAAAAAACTATTATCTTGGGGTGCCTCTTCTGTTAAGGTCCAGTATCTTCACATGAGATGTATTGCCCACATTCTAAACTTGGCAGTTCAAGATGGTTTAAAGCAAGCTGACACTTCTCTATCTAGGGTTAGGGAAGCAGTTAAGTATGTTAGGAATTCTCCTGCTAGGCTTCAAAAGTTTAAGGACATATCTGACTTAATTGGGGTGGAAGCTAAATGTGGACTACACCTTGATGTTCCAACTAGGTGGAATTCCACATACCCAATGCTAAAGTCAGCTTTATGTAATGAAAAAGTTTTTGAAGCCTATGAGGAGAATGTAAGTAGTTATTCAGTTGATTTGGGTCTTGATACTCCATATACTATGGATTGGATTTCTTGTGAGTCTATGGTCACAGTTCTTCAAAATTTCTATGAGATGACACTCAGGATTTCAGGCTCTCTCTATGTTACATCTAATACTTTCTTCTCAGAAGCGTCTGATCTGTTTCTAGTCCTTCAGGACTTGATGAAGTCAGATAGACCTTCTACAAGTAGCATGGGAAGTACTA